TATTACACTGGTGTAATTTCAATCTTCTATTGGTAATAGTTTTCAAGATAAGAAACGTAACTTTTTTTTGTTGTGTTTGCGCGAATCGGAAGTAAAGATGTAATATCATCGTGCCCCACTGTATCCGAATCTGAAATTACTTTAATATTATTTTCTGTAGAAAACATACTGACCTAATCTATCTAGTATCTGCCACACACAAGTCCCGCGCGCGCGCCGTCTTAACTTTTATTTAATATTATATACTATATAATACTAGATAATAAATAATTTTAACATTTAATACTAGATATTAGTATTACTATACTTACATACTATTTACAAAAAAAAAATTATTGTGGCTAATTGCGACTAGCTTTACTTAATCGATTAGGTACTAACTCTTGGTTAGACCCTATCCAGGTTAGTATTAGCCCCTAACCATGTTAGTATTAGGCCCTAACCAGAGTAAGTTAGATTAGGCCTAACTCATGTGAAATTTTTGAAATGACTTTTTTCCGGGTGCTCTTAGCACAGTGTGTGTAGGCAGTATGTGACACGTTTCACGAAACTGCGCAAATTTTTCGCAGTTTATTTGTGCTGCAAAGATTCGTGCGTGATCGTTACACGTGATCGTTACACTCTGACGTAGAACATAAAAAAAAAAAGAAATAAAAAAAATGACTTTTCACATTCTAATACTAAGTCCGCCGCCCATAAGCTTAGAAGTACATTGCTTTTCGGTACACAATTTAGGAAATATATAAGGAGTTTCGTAGTCAATTATAGATTCTATGGAAATGACTTAGGTAAACTTGCAACACCATGTATGTATACACAAGACATAATCGAATCGTTTGAAAGTTCTTTATACAAAAGAAATTACATATACATTTCAAAGAAAAAAAGCATTCATCGATTCACTATTTAACATCTACAACTACACTTATTAAGTTATTAGCATATTATCATAGAGTATCAAGTGCGATACAGCTTGTTGTTATATGTACGCAATGACTGAATTATTCCTTGATAGATCCCACATACTTCATCTGTCCATGTGTCGGTGTGAAAATTCGCAATAAGGTTTTTGTTATTTGTCATGTAACTTTTTTTTTATATGACACCCATTATTTCTAATACGGACATGTCAAATGACCTGAAGAGCAATGTATGATATTTTTATTATTTGCAATATACATATACAGTAATAAGGATACTTACTTAGAATTTAGTTCATCACCTGGAATATAAAATGGATTGCAAACAGCATTGGAATATGCAGCGTGCAATTTCTTAAACATCTGGTAAACAAGAATCAGTTGATGTAAAAATGTTTGCAAAAAAAAAATGAAATACAAAAGAGCATTACCATTTTTACTTCGTTATCCCTTAATGATATATTGGATGATTGTAATACTATAACAAATTTAATTTTTGTATTTGTAGCGTAACCATATCTGAAAAAAATAAGTTTTGTTAGTTTGTTTTCATGTACTGCAAAATATATATATACTTGTTATATCTTTTATATATTTTTCACTATTGTAGAAAAAGACAAACATTTTATATTCTTCCGTTGCAAATAACAAGCCTAAATACAAATCACGTATATCAATAGCTGCTTTGTTTCCAACATTCAGTTTTTCTTCTATTATATCAATTGATGTGTGCACCTTGTAATGAAATTGCAACGCAGATGCTTCATCCGCACACTTGATGTACTTTGGTGAGTTCTGCAAAAAAAGACAATCCCAGTACGCGTACACATAGTATATTACGTTTGAAACATAAGTGTTTTATTTTTTTTTCTCGTATAAAATATGTGACTTGACTTTTTAGTGAATTTTGATACTTTGCGCATACACTGATCACCAGGCACATAAGTACATACAGGTGCGTATAAACTGTATCAATTTCTCAAATGCAAAATACTTACATCTTTACCAATAACAGCTATGCAAGCAGCCATTTTCATTCTCTGGAAACCGGAATAACCTGACGTAAAAATTAGTTACAGTACATTGTATCTTTTACTCGATACATTTTCAGATGACTTTAATTACGAGGTCGAAATATACCGTAACTACCAACAAAACTAGGTTAGGTTAGATTAAGGTAGGTTAGAATGACAATAGTAATTTATAATCGTTTGAATAAACAAGATATTTTAATAGTTAATTTTATATTTTTGTCTGTTAGTATAAAATATCATACAAAACTTATTGCATGATATTATTTAAAGTGTATAAATATATAATGTGTGTAAATATGTATGTGTGTGTAGATCGAGGTTTGTTCTTTTTAACCAAAGAAGATGCACAGTTCGTCCTTCAATTTTTCTTTCTGTCGTGAAAGAAAAAGAAAAAAATCGCTAATGTGACACTGTGACAAATCTAGCTACAAAGGGCAGACATGTGATTCAAACATGTATGGAAGTTTGATCGTATTGTATAATGCCCGGATCGTTGCATTTCGTCGAGTTAATAAACTTCCCAACCTTGGAAATTTGTTACAGGTTAGCACGTTTGATTTCTCGTTTTGCAAGAAATCAAACGTCATTTTTGCAAAACGTTGATTCTTTCTTTGTAAATTTTTCGCCTTGTCACTGCGCCCATCGCTCATTTTTATCATAATTTAAGATGAGGTAGCTGAATTAAATACTTCCCATAATGCAACTACTACGCAATATTGTTATATACAAATTTATATAGATGACATGTAAATTTTTTTTTCCATCGCTTCAGTCGTAATACTTCTTCTTAATAGTTCTATATTTACGCAACATATATAAGGCTTCTAGTTCTTTTATCACAAAATTACCATGCCCTATCATTTTATCTATTTTTTCATAATCAGTTTCTGCTTTATTTTTGTCAAAAGCTCTTCTCAGCTTGGTTCTGAAATATTGATATCCCTTTGGATAGTCTCGACCCATGTGCAATAACTGAAAAAAAAAAAAAAAATCAATGTAAATTTAACAAAATAAATACACAGTTAAATATATTAATATGTATAATTTCAGATTTTATACCTGTTGTTAAACTGATTAGATGTACAAACATGTAATTTCAGATTTTATACTTGTTAAAAGTAACTCTGATTTTGAGGTATAAAATAATATTTATATATGTATATATATATATATATATATGTTTCAATCACATATAAAGCAATATATTATCGTATTTAATTATTTTATTACCGTTTTGTACAACTGAATAACTTTGGCACGCTGTGACATGTTACGTTACATTTGTTCTTTCGACTGCGTTACATCTGTGATTGGACGAGCAAGAAATATGGTGCTTGCGAATAGGATGCGTCAACGTTAAGTCCGTTCGCCATTCTACGTAAGACGCAGACGCAGGCCGCTGATCTCGCTGAATTGACCATTCACGTTTATCGAATCAGCCAATCGACTTACGTGATTGGTCAATTCCTCGAGATCGGTTACCTGCGATCTGCGTCTGCGTTTTATGTAGAATGGCCTTTACGCGCGAAAGAAGTGACAGCCATTCGCCACGTTGCTTTTCTATTAATATTCTGATTAGTTAAACATCGTGTTGTTTCTTGTCGCTCATTGATGCGTTGTCTCGTGCGCGGAAACCCGTAAAGCTTGTTGTCGCTGTCTCTTCTTGATTGGCTAAATTCCGATCTGCGATCCGCGTTACGTAGGCTGTGTTCCAAAATTCACTGTCAGCGCTAAAGATCTATAGTTTACGTCACATATATCATACAATTTTAGCACTGGCAGCGTGCTGGCGTCAATTCTGGAACATAGCTGTAGTGTGACTCGAACTTTAGTAGCTTTGTACAAAATCCAGTGAGTTGGCGCTGCCGCCGCGCGTGACGAGATGTGCGATTAATTATACGATATATGTTGGACTTGAGCTTTTCGAAATCGAGTCTTGACGTTTGAGAAGCGAATCGATCTCGGCGCGAAGGTGACTGTCAGTATTAGTGATTTTACCAGATCTGTTCAGTCGGATTTTTTTTCAATTATTTTTTTATCGTTTTATTTGTCCTGTTATTCGTTCTCGGAGAGACAACTTTATATTTTGAGAAAAATTATAAAAACCATGGAGTCTGCGATCGGGCATCTCGAACAAAGCGTAAGTATAAATTTTAACCTTTGTTCTACTACGTTGCCAAACAGATTAGTCGCGCAGATTTAATCGTGTGTGGGCGTGCGTGCGTGTGTGCGTGTGGTGCGTGCGTGCACAGTCGCACAAATATTTACAAATATCAAATTCAATTTGTTTTGCATTCTCGTGTGTCTCAGGTTCAAGAAGCCGACGGAAAGCTTGACATGATCGCGTGGCAAATAGACTCTTTTGAGAAAGCTTTCGAAGATCCACAAAACGAGGTACGTTTTTCTTTTCTTTTGACAGTAGTGTACTCGAGTCTGTTTTAGATATATATATAATTGATTCTGAAGACTAATATACAAATTTATTTATATACAAAATACTATCGGTCGCAAGTTGAAATTGTTCAAGTAAGACGACTTATATATTTCTAAGGGATAAATAATATGAAAAGAAAATTGTAAGAATAATGTGCAACTGAAAAAAAGAGCAATATTTGTTGTACCTGCACAGTTTTCTGCGTCATTGAATAAATAATTACATTGTTGTTCGTCAAATAAATCCTGCTTGAAGCCGGGATGCTTTGTTTCATTTGGCATTAAATGTGTTCTATGCTACATGTTTCATTTTTTTTTCATGTGCACTATTATCCGCAATGTTTCTGGATCTTCAATTTCTTTCAATCGCTTTTCATTTTGTGCTTTTAACAGATATCTGTGCTTCGTCTATTACATTCTGTCCATCAAGTTACGAAAGATTATCAAAATCTTCGTCAAGAGATTTTGGAGGTTCAACAGTTACAGAAACAGCTTTCTGATTCACTTAGAGCTCAGCTTACGCAAGTACATGGACATTTTAATTTGTTGCGCAATAAAATTGTAGGACAGAAATCACCACAAATGAAATAAAAGCACAGTTTGAAACACTGAAAAACAATACTAAAAAAAACTTTTTGTTTGTATAAGTTTTAATAATTATTATTTTTTAAAAAAGTTTTATTTAAAAAAAAGACTTCTGGTATTCACAGCTTACTTAAAAAAAACAAAAATACTATTTCTTATATTCGTGTACATGTAAAGTGTTTGTTTTTCTGTCATTAGAGAGTTTTAAGTATATTTTTATGTAGTGAGAAAAAAGTATATACTTTGATGGTTTTTCGTGCCATCGAAAGATATAAAGACAAAAATATGAAAATTTAAATTTGGTTCTTTCACTGCCTGATGTTTCCGCGCAAACTATTTCAGCTACACGTCGATTTACACATTTGTTCGATATTTGTTCGCAATATGTCACATTTGTGCGTAATAGTAAACTATAAGTAGGGATATATTCGGATATATAAATAAGGATACTAAACAAAATGAAGTAAATCTTATTATGGACTTGTAAATTTCTATTTATTAAAAGTTTCGATTAAAATTCGGTATGTTTATATTTCTTATTATTTCTAGCGTTTTCATCAGTGACGAAATAAATAAAAATTAGGAAAATTTATATATTTAAGTAAAAACAGCAATGAACTGAAATAACTGAGTGTAAGAAGAAAGTGACATTCGTCGATATTAAAATTTTAACGTTCTATGTGTATGTCTCAAACTTGCTCGTGATAACAATTCGTAATTTACAGAAACAGAGATATTCTCATATGTTTCAAATATTTTTCAACATTTTCTTAAACAGAATTTTCAGTAATGTTAAAATTAATTTTTTCTTACGCATTCATAGTTAATCATTGAAAAATTGAAGAGATCAAACCAATTTTATATATATAAAAATCTGGGATCAACATGCGTTACATATTGACAAATAATTGATTTAACTTATGCCTTGTGGCAGTGGGGCCAATCTGTATGATTGTATGTTGAAAGTAGCATTCAGAGACTGTTAAAGAGAGGTTTGTTAAATATTCTTTCCTACACGTTCAACATGTAGCTCTTCTTTTGTTCATTCATATTTTCAATGTGTGTTCTCAATATGTTAAAACAACGGACAATATATAAAAACTAAATATTATGTTTAATTTAAAAAAAAAAATAAGAGAGATTAAAAACCTTCTAATAGCGCATTTTTAATTGAATGACTAAAAAATATTTTTACGTATATTTATATTATTACTAGATATGTCAATCATTTCTTACGCCATTTTGAGGACAATGGTGAATAATAATTAATATTTTTTGTGCCAATTAAAGCTTTGTAAAATAATAACACTAGAAAATACAAGCTTAGCATGATATCTTTGTGCGTACACATTCTTTAGATGAATTTTAGATATTTATGTGCACACAATATATAGTCATTTGAATGTCTTTTGGAAAACGCAATTTCAATATTGTGAAAAAAGTATCGAATAATATAACTTTCCATGCTTTTTATAATATTACAGATGTTCATATTACTCATTTTTTATATATAATATATATTACATAAATTTACATATATTTACATAAATTACAACCAAATCATAGCCAACATATTTAACCAGACCTTTTAATACAAGTTGACGCTTAAGTATCACTATTCTATATATTTCTGTGTAAATGATATTTATATTATAGTATAATATAAATAATTTCTACATTTTTCATTGTATAAAACAGCAAATGTGTGTTTGATCTTTTTGTATTTATTATTATTTTGTATTACACACACACGCACTCACATTCATGTCTCGTGACTTAATCTTCATTTGTATAATATAAAGAATATTATTAACTTTGACAGCAACAGAAATTAAATTTAGAATATTAAAAAATAATGAATATTTAAAAGAATAAAATTTTATAGAACACAATATTGCCTTAATATTATAGACACATTTAATGTGTCTTTATATGTATTTATCTTCGAAATCAAAATTTATATGTGATTTATTACAGTATGGTCGTATATACTCTATACGCTATATACTTAACATTTTACACATCACGCTCTCTCCCTTTATAAACATATATATATATATATATATATATATACACACATATGTATATGTATGTATGTATGTATACACATACATACATATACTATATATATATATGTATCTACATTATTAATGTCAAGAAATCTGTTAGTAAAGTAACAATGTGAAAAAAGATAATTTGTACATAGATATTTGGGAACGTCTCGTTCTTTACAGAAGTATCACGTTATAGAATATCTTTTTGCGTTAATAGGAGAACTCTTTCTCGTACTAAACAGAAATATTGTAATTTATTACGTGATTGCATTTACGTAATATTTATTATTCGTATATTTATACTACGTGTTTCATCCGCGTAAGTCTGTTATCTCAGTGATTAATGAAAGGAAAAAATAATGCGAAGCAACTTTTGTAGTTACAGAAACGAGATTGTTCTCACAAATAGTTGGGTGTTGTATGTGATTTTGTTTATTTTGAAAAAAATGCTGTTTTTGTATTTGTTTTTTTATTTTATAACTGGTAACATTTTTTCAAATATTAAAAATGTTACCCCTAACCTAACTCTTCCGAGTTAATATTGTGCGCGGAAAGAAACACTGTGATTGCGTGTTGACTTCTACGTTTGTTACGGTTAATTTAAATTACGCGTTTAATTTAAACTCTACTGTTACTGATACAAATGACATCAACCATAGAACGTCGTTAGAGAAACAAGGACATACATATGTAAAAAGAGGTTATATTAGATTTAAACGTATTATAGATTGTTTGTGTATTGTAGTCTTCCAAATCACATAGTCTAATACTCTTATTACATTCTTCAATGTTATGTCTATTTTGGATACTTTTTGGTTTTTATAAATAATAATAACTCTTGAACTTCAAATATCAGTACACTAAAAGTAGAAGTAATTGTTAACTTCAACGCGCAAGTTTTGTTAAGTTTTTGATATATTGAAAAGTACCCGAGATTAATTTCATTATTATTTCCTTTTATTTTGTAAAGCCGTTTTTCTATCCGAGCAATAAATAGAAAATGCAATCTAAAATACGAATTACTCGTTCGATCGGTATAACAGGAAGAAAAGAGTCCAGGACTCTTTTAACGAGAAAAGTATCTAAATTGGCTGATTTAAACTAAGAGAAAAAAAGAATTTTATAATTCTTGCTCACTACATTAAATAAAATTTTAAATTAATCGTAATATAAATCAGTTTCTGTATTTTCTCGTGTAACTTTTATCTAAAATAACGATTTATTATGATATGTCGTAGTATAGTAAGATGTATTTGTTACACATGCGTTGTACCGCATTTATATATATCGAAACATACCTATGTGTGTGAGAACTAGATAGAATATCTAGTTCAAAATTAAGCGTATTCAATTTTATGCTTTGATGTACATACAACTTGATCGAGAGTAGGTGATCTGTTGTTAATATGTGATATAGAATAGTGTTGAGATATAATTTAAGAGAAACATGGTCTGCGACACATTGAAGAAACTTCGGTCAATTAGTAATGCTATTTATTTGATCGAAGACAGATTTTGTTCAATTTATATCCTACTCGGATCTACATATCGCGTTTAAAATCTATTCAAATATGTATATTGCAAATTTTAGCGGAACATTTCTAAAAGTTGTCTACGTAGTTGCTAATAATAAATAAAATTCGTACAACTCTTACATTCTTTGCATGCTGCACGCGTAGAAGAAATATACACGATATATTGATGAATACGTTATTTAAGTGATAATTCAAAGTAAATGTGCATTTGTACGTAATTGATATGTAATCGTACAGTTATATACTTCCAGTGCTATTAAACATTTTTTGATACGTATAAAGAAATCCTAAATGTTTACATATTGTGTGTATATTTGTTTGTAATATTTTAAAATTGAGTATTCAACTTGAGAGGTATGAATGAATTAATAATATAATTACGCATTTTAATATTTTTATTGATATTTGAATTAATTATTAATACTTTTATTAATACTCTTAAATATTATTAATATTTGTTTAAAATTGATTGATTTTGTTCTATTTCTTTTATATCTCTTTGTATGTATATATAGTGTGTGTGTACATATATGTGCGTTTGCGCACAGGAATAAATAACTATACGATTTTCATATTAAATATTGACATTTGTTGATTATTATTTGTCAATTATCGATTATTATACGTATATAATTGCTCCACTTTTCAATGTATAATGTTACTGAAACATAGTCACTAATTATATATATATATATATATATATATATATATCTCAAGAAAAACTGTATCTTTTTAGATATTTTATTATTATAGAAGTATTAATAAAAAAATTATCTGTGTGTAGAGCAATCCCCTGAGAATTTCCTTATTGTTTATTGTATTTAATTAAACAAAGACTAGTTAATTCCACGTGCGTACCAAAAAGAAGTCGAAACAGCAACTATCTTTGCTACGGCCGAGCCATCGAAAAAAAAAAAGTCGCAAATAGAAGTGAAGCGGTAGATTTTTGCCCATAATTTTTTCTTGTATTACAATTAGATAAATACTTCGCGCGTATTCAGCGCGTATTTAGTTCTTTTGCTGCAATAACAAACGCTTGAAGTGAAATAGCAATGATTAAATCGATAAATCTTAATGATTATTCGCGTTGCAAATTAGACAAAAAATGTGATCGCGAATCGTAAATTACACCGATTTCTGTTGATTAGAAATCACAAGGGAGAAAAAACGATATCTGCGCAATTTCCTTACTGAGAAGTTTAAACTTCGGCTAGCGATAACACAACGAACGGTACTTTCCGCTCAATTTCCACCGTTGTCGTGGGAAAGTATTCTTGTTCCGGTCGTGCAACGATGCGGTTGTGGATATTGTACATTTGTATATTTGTCAAAAAATATATTTTAGTTTCTTTCTATAAATATAAATAAAATTACATAATTATAGACTGTAAAACTTTTTTTCGATACAACTTTCAAAGATAGTCTCGCACACCTCTTCTTGATAAGAAAATTCTTATGGTTTTTGATGTCAAAGAGGGACGGACTTACTGCGTTATTTTTTTTTTTTCTTTTTTTTTTGTACGCTTCTAATGTCGTACAAACAGACAAAAGAACGCGCGTTTTTACTTGGAGATGTAATAAAAATATGTTCTTAAGATAAGAATAAAAGAACGCGCAAAGTTGATATTCGCGGTTTTTTCATCTCTTTGCGTAGTATTCTCGAAAAACATCCATTCTCGATTTTTCATAGATCGGAATATCCCATTGATGAGGAAGTAAATATTTCGATTGTGTTGAGTATAAAATCCGGAAGCGAGCGTTCTTCAAAGAGCGTGTCGAGAGAAGCAGTGTCGTCAGCCGGAAATTGAAAGAGAAACGTCCCGTGTGGACGTGGACGAAGCAAAAGTGATCGCGATGCGCTTGTCGATTTGTATCTTCTTTTTAATAAAAAATCCGCAACGCTTTGCTACGATTGCGCCGAGAGCGTCGTAGCGCAAATTCAGGAGAGATACGATCCACTCGCAATTTCTAGCGCTAGTTCCACGCGAAAGTGCAGTTATTCGAGATATGACACGTCGGCGAGCGTGTCGTGTGCGCAAAATGGTTTTACGTCGTGTCGCGAAGACAGGAAGAAAAGTTCGTGAAAGGCATTTGTCTTCTTCCATTGAGACATGAGTAGAAAAATCTCTTTGTTATTATTCTGATCACTCGGATACGTGAAATGAGTATCAATTAAGTGCTAATTGTATGCGATATGTATAAAATACTATTATTTAATTTTTCTAACAGATTTTGAAAAAATGTATTTTTTCTTTAGCTCGCTTTATTCACAGTTCCATGCAAGATCCAATGCAGAGAAACTACCTAAATTTGTCGGAATAGTCGAATTCGGTTTTAATCTGCTTGTTTTATCGAGCGTATTAAGAATGTTATAGACGCTTTTTAATACGATATTTGAAGCGTTCTTAAGAATCTGCTTTTTGTGAGTTTATTGAGATGTGGTTGGGAAATGTACGTTGTGATATCACACTTGTTTAATAAGTAATTGTAATATATTGTATAAAATATATTCTTACCACGTAACGTACAATTAAACAATAAATAGATTGTTGTAATGTTGCAAATGTTTAACATGTCTTTAGATATGTGTATAACCGAAGAAAAATAAGTAGCCTAAAATCCATATCGTTCTCGCCCCGTGTCGGAGCGTACTGAAAATGCGAATGAACGCCTCGCGTTCTAATAACCTACTCTCACAACGTTGAGCGAGCGGACTAGCTAGCGTTCGACGGACTCCAGCGATCGGTCGAGTTTAGTCTTCGAGCAGCCGGTTCCTCTCGAGGTCGGACCCTGTCCGCCACACGGGCTTGAATCACCGCCCGCGGGAAAGCAGGAGGGCCTTCGTTTTATTCGCGTGAATTGTACGTATGAAAAGATTCTTTGCTTCGTTACAATCAATAATTGCCAACAGTTTTCTGACAGTTTTCTTCACGGGCTATTTTTCGTGCGCTAGTATAAAAGAGGTAGGTATTGTTGCTTAAATTTAAGTTACAAAGTCACTCTAATTTTGGATTTAAAGATAAAAATTCATTACACTTTCTTTTATAATTCTGCAAAATTTGCAATAAAATTTTTAATAGACATATTTAATTGTATTATAGAAGATATTTTTAAGTAATTATAGTTTTAATATTTTTTTATTTTAATTACATAAAATGTTGCATTTAATCCGTACTCAGACCGCGAACATTAGTTATTATTAGTCTTCAAAATGCAATTTTGATAGTTTTGGGAAGTTGATTGACATCTTGTAAGGATAGTAAATATATTTGATGCTTGTTTATCACACTGAGAATAAATAAGTTACCACAAATAATCTACATCTAGTGCCGTGACTAATTGTGTGAATAAAATCACCTGTGCTATTTTTCATCTATTACAGTTTAAATAACTAAATAAATAAATTGTTTTGGAGCAGCATTGTTTGACAGATTTTATCAAGTTTGATGGTCTGACCATCGCTTGCATCGGATTAAATTTAAAGTAAGATTTTATATATATTTATATAATTTATCACACACAATAAGAATCATTAAAGATAGGTTTATTATAATAATATCAATATGAGTGTTTTATGAATTCTTACGATAATAGTGTAAATTTATTGTTACGAATCATCGTTTTTAGTGGAAAACAATTTTTTTGTAACATTCCTCATCGTCATGTGTGTGTCTTGAGATATCTCGTACGTAGAGATACGTGTTATAACCGGTTCAGTAGCTTCTTTGTCATTGTGTGTCGTAGCGGTAGACTTTTCGCGAATGAATAATAATTCGAATAGCGATGTTTCAATTTACGAGATTTAACATTTTCGAGTATAAAATGTGTAGAGAGAAGACCTATCGCCGTACAGTGTATTCAGTTTTTTTATACGATTTTTCTTGTACAATACAAATGATTCTCTGCGATATACTTCGATTGAAAACGTAAAACTTGCATTTCTCAAACGATTTCTAATGTCGTCTTTTCGCGTCGTGGACTAGTTGTCCTTTGTAGTTTGCGTGTGCGTTTCTCCGTTACTTTTCGTACTTTTTGAGTAAAGTGTTGGTGGGCGAGTCGAGAGAGGTCGTCAAACCTTCGCGCGTTCAGTCATCTCCGCGAACAATTTATTGTGTTTGTGCGTTGTTTCCGAATGGGCTATAAATTACAAATTGGTAATATAATAATCGAAAATTCCTGTGTGAGATAAATATCACTCGAAACATATAATGGAGGGGGAGGGGAGAAAACTATATAAGAATAACAGTTATCAAGTATAATTAATAAAACAAATATGTATACATACGTAAATATGTAGATATGATAATGAATAAGTTATAGTCCCATCGTGGAAGAGCGAACGGAAGAAACAAGTTCCGACGTTCCGTTTCTTTTAGGTAAGGCGCGCGCGCGCGCACACACACAGAATATTGCTCTCAAGAATATTAAGCACTTTTGAATTATTAGTCAAGCAACTAGCAATCTATGCAAACAATTGATACAACGTAAATATACATATATCTCTCTTTAACGTAGAAAGAATATTTTTAATTTACATAATGTTTATCCAAGTGAAAATTATGTTTTCTTTTGGTGTGCATTTGTGATTATTTTAAAATTAGCATTTTACTTTTGCAACAAATGTTTTTCTTTTCATACAGATCGGCTTTGTGATCTCAGCATGCGTTTCCTCGTATTTAGTGTGACGTTGAGCGTGAATCTGCTAGTCGTTTGGCAAGTTTCTGCCCATGGAAGACTGATCGAGCCACCCTCGAGAGCCTCTATGTGGAGGTACGGCTTTAATACACCTCACGATTACAACGACCATGAATGCTATTGCGGCGGCTTTACCAGGCAATGGCAGCGTAACAAAGGCAAATGTGGCATCTGCGGAGATAGCTGGGATTCTCCGACGGTAAGTTTGACTGAAACAAGTTGTGTGGGGAAAATGTCACATAAAAAAAATGTGTACGATAGTTATGCGTTGTGACTAAATTGTCATCTCTCAACTTGTATAATGAGTGCCTTGGCAAAAGTGCCTTTCTTGACATTCTCCTTGCAATACTGTGCAGCAGTATTATTCCGCACGATTCTTCGCTCCGTTGGTCGTAAGATATCGCACAATGTCACTAATGTCGCATGTTTTCAAAAGTTGATTATGCAGTACATAAATGCGAAAATTGTTTACTGAAAGTGTACGCGCGCGATTTACTTGCTGAAAAATATCTTTCTCTCTTGATGTGTAATCGCGATATATTGTAAAGATGAACAAAATGAATTTATTATAATTAAAGTTAACAATTAATCGGTTTCGCAACTTTCGATAGCTCACGCGACTAAGTGGTTTCACACTTCCGATAGCTCACGCGACTAAGTGGTTTCACACTTCCGATAGCTCGCGCGACTTGTCTCTATTAACGGCTCCGAGTTCTCTGTCTCCGGCGACCGAAGACCTCTCGCTCATCACCTCGGTTTTCGAGGACATCTTTCTGTTTTCCCTGTTTGAAAATCGTCGGTTGGATTATCAACAGGCAATCAACAAACATCGCAAACAAGACAACGGTCGTAAACATTTGTCACCTCGACAGTCACAAACAGACAAATCTGTTGTGAGATTATCGCCGTTACATCCAAAATTCACGCAAATAGAATTGAATATTATACACATACAAAATATAAGAATTATAGATACACACACAAATATAAATTACAATGTATATAAGAATTAGACTTTTTACACTTTGATTTTCCTTACAATATTAATTATTAAAATTTTAAAAAATAAGGTAAACGGCAAATGCTTAGTCGATTGAACAAATTAATTTTTAATAATTTTCTAGAAACTTCTTGTCCTATTGGCGCGAAATATTTTTCAGTACTACTTAAAAATATTTGTTCCAAGTTGTTTGTTTTCTTCCCTGTAGTGAAATAAGTGAAACGTTTTATTTGTTTCTTTACACAATATTTTGATTACACTATCTTACTGTTTCGGGATACTATTGTTTTCTCTCCCGTCCCTCCACATCTGAAGTATATTTCTGCACTTCTCTCCAATGTTCGAGTCAAAAACAGAAAGATGCGATATAGGTATTTTTTGTCGTCAGCCGCGCGCTCATGAAACGGGCGGCAAGTACGGGAATGGCGTGATCGTGCGGCGTTATCGGACCGGATCTGTCATTCCGGTTCGCGTAGAGTTGACGGCGAACCATCATGGCTACTTCGAATTTCGCACTTGCGCCATGACTTATCGCGACCGAGAGGTCAGCCAGGAGTGCTTGGACCAATATCTGCTGCGCGCCGAGAACGGATCGACTCGCTACTATCCCGGTCCTGGTAACCGTGTTTTTGAAGGCTACTTTAAATTACCGGAGGGTTTGACCTGCGCTCAATGTGTGTTCCAGTGGCGATACATCGCCGGCAATAACTGGGGTGACTGCGGCAATGGCACAGGTAACTATACGTACATATAGGTCGCTATATATATATATATATATATATATGTACATATATCTATATATATCTTTATTTCCTGGTGAGCAAAGTCGTCACGCCTGAAAAAGATGGTTTCTGACGAAGAACACTTTAAAAAGAAAGAACCAAAGACACAGTAAACTGGGTGGACCTATAAGTTTTATATTACGTATGCATTTTTTCTTTGCTTTTTCTCGAAATGGTGAATGAAAAGACTATTTCACCGTATTGTCACTTGAAAACGGTATCGCGTTTCAGAGTGCTCGTATATTTTATTTACGCTTATACATGCAACAGTCAAAGAATCGCAACTAATGTATTAATATTAATGTTGCAAGAGTTACGCCATTGAGATTTCATTCAGGTCGATAGAAAGTGCCGATAGAAAATGTTCTTCCATATGTAATAACAACGACTCGAGATATATTCGCGGTGTTTTTATTACATAATATCATTTGATAACTTGGTTAACAAAATAATAAAGCGCGTCTATTTCTCTTAACTTACTAAAAGGGGAGAGCGCGGATCGATACGGTTCAATTTAAATACTCTATTACTACATTTAAGCTCAAAAGAATCTGAAAGTAATCGAAAATATACAATTGTTTGTATTAATCGGATAAAATGTCTACTTCCTCTCGAATTGCACTTGAAATCACTTGAAATCGTACGATATATTCAGGAGCAGTTGGGTGCGGACCTCAGGAAGAGTTTCGAGCCTGCGCTGACATTGCCATCGGTGACAACGAGACAATACTGCCGAAACAGCCCACCACCGACTCTACATTCGTATCTACGCCGACGGACGCGAGTCCGTTACCGAAATTCACCAGGCCAGACTGGTTGTTGAGCATTGTGATCGCTGGTACGTGTCTATTGGTGGTGCTGAGCGCTATGGCATTGTTTTACGCGTACTACTACCACGCCAGTAAAGCTAAAAAGTGGCTCATGGCGAGGAGACTCCTGGCGCAAGAAAATCCACCGGTTGCTCCACCGAGACACAAAAAGCATCAGCACGTATCGAACACACAGTTGCAGCTTTAGTCTAATCCAACTGTTTATATCGCACTTTGGGAAAAAACGGAGTTTCAATTGCTCTCGAGAGAGAGAAGCAATTTTGAGTGGATTATGTGGATTAAATCGTTGTGCGATACATCCTCGTGACACTCAAAGTACACGTACTTCGTCCCGATTTTGTGGAGTCGGATGACAGGCTCGTGTAAAACATTCGGTATTTCAAGCGATAAATTAATACTTTCGTACTTTTCACTCACGCACACTCTTTGTACATACATATCAATTATCTTGTATTAAAAATATTTATTTTGTATAATCTCATTTATCTCTCGTAATCATTTCTTCCTTCACGCATCATACATCAAGTATTACTTGCTGCAAATCAATTTGTATTGATGAGTTTAGGTTTATATACGAAGTTACTAATGGATTCTAGAGAGATTAACTGTCTCTTTCTAAACAATCGCTCGTAACGTATAACTTTCTAGGCTGCGTTCTGATGTTCGCTGTCGGTAGTAAAAATCTATAGCCCATGTGACGTCGAGCATATAGATTTTTATTACTGGCAGTAAATATCGAAACACAGTTCTGATACGAAAGATACTTTGCGCGCTTACACATATACGCACGGAAAGAAAAGCAATGAAGTAATACATCGAGATGTAAATATGGTATATGAGTCGCATAAAATACAAAATTGTTTTTTTAGCTACACGTAAGACTTTATCGCACGTTTGAAATTGTAACGACACATGTATTATATAATACGTGGCACTTTACCGTGGCAAAAGAAATCTGTCTTTAATGTCATTTAACAGTCAAAGTGCAATAAATGTCAAGCACTGTATTGTTACTAACTGTTACAACCGGTGCTAAAATTGCATGAAAGTTATGTGTCAACAACACGTGCAATTGGTAGATACGCAACAGATCGAAACACAAGTAGATTGAAAACAGATATAATTTATATAATATAATATATAGCTGGTTATTTTTTATCGAACAACATATTTCTAAACTCTTGATTGCTCATCGACTGCGCAATCCCGTTTCCGTTCGGTGCCGCGCCATTTCTGTTATTTGTTTTAACGTTACGGGGTACCATAGATAATAAAGTTTTAGGCACTCCAAACGCGGTGCGGCTTGTCGTCGTCCCACCCAATGACTTGATTTGTTTACCGCTTTCCTCTGTCGTTTGGATTTTCTTACGATCGGGTGGTTGACTTATCGCAACGTTGATAACTTTGTCTTGGATTTTCATACCGTCGGTATTGAAAAGGGCCTTCGCAGCGATTGCCTCGTCGTGATATTCGACGTAAGCCAAACCCTTTGAGTGTCCATTACGGTAAGTAACCAAACGAACTTCCTTGAGATCTCCGTAAACCTTAAATATTTCTTCGAGTTGCTCTTTCGTCGTCGTGAGTGGAAGTCCTGCGAAAACGACCGAATCTTAAATATATAAAGAGCGAAAAAAAAATACTTTGTAACCACAATTTCTCTCTACAAAAAATTATATATTTGCGCGATACTTTGTAACAATTTAAATCCACCTTTGACAAAGAGTTTGTTCTTTTCGAGTGTAGAACTGTACTTAAATCCGGAACTTCTTGTACTCTTATTGGGATCGCATCTCGAAACGAACATGGGACGCCCTTTTATGGGCGTTCTATCCAATTTTAAAGCTTCTTCCACAGCTTTCTACAAAAGGAAAGAAAAGAATAGCGAGTGTTGAAACAACGTACTTTCACCTTCTCTGATGTTTAAAGAGATTTAAATCAATATGAGATATATAGAGTATAATACATACTGTACTGCTTAACTGTACGTAGCAATATCCTTTGCTACGTCCTTTGTAATCTTTGATCATTTTAAATAATGTTATCGGACCAGCTGATTTCATGACATCTTTCACTTCGTCTTCAGTCGCGGTGTAATCTAAATTGCTGACAAAAACTGTAATGTTGTTGTCTATCTCAGGCTGATTACTCGTATTGTCTACGTCTTCGGTCTTTTTCAAACCGAATGGTGGCGCTTCAATTTTTGGTTTCGCTTCTTCTTTTTTATGCTTATCTTCCGTATTGTCGATATAATTTAACTTGTTCAAACGACTTTCTCGTAATAATAACTTTTCGTGCGTGCTGGATTTTACAATTTTTGACGGAGAACCTCCCAAGTTTTTCCATTTGCCACTGTCGTCTAACTTTCTTTTGTTTGCTTTCTTATTTTGCGTTGGCAATTCACTACGACAAGTTTCTTGTTGCTTTTGCCGTTCTTCCATAACTTTATCAAGCTTTTCTTTTGTTTTGACTTCACAAAGTTCCATTTGTTCTAGAGTTCCCTCGTCACGTTCAAAATCTATCCAAGCGTTTGCTATACTTTCTGGCCAATCTTTCACAACAGATAAAGCTTTTTGGAATAATTTCCTCAAATGCTTCGTATCTCCGTAGCATCTGTGGATGCAAAGTAAAAACTTACTCCGAATAATACGACGGAATTAATAAAATACATCAATGAACATTGGAGCGCTCGAGTTATAACAATTGTTTAAATAAACGCATTACCTTTCCAGCGATATGTATTCCAACCAATAAGAAGCTGTTGCAGAGTGCCCCTGCGAAAGAATATCAGCCCATAAAGTTCTGGCCTTTTCCATGTTATTTGCGTGTATCGCTTCAGTTCTTGCCCAGTATTGTAGAATAATACAATTGGGATCACCATCCAGTCCAAAATATTTTGCCAAATGTTCGCACGCTCTGTTGAATGTATTGCGGATAACGTCTATACGCCTATCTTTTTCTTCGTCCGAACTCTGCTCGATTCTGCGTCGTAGATATTCCAGATACACAATCCACAAATTTCGATAATCTTCTGCTGTAGAAAAACTAACAGCCAAAGCGTTCTCTAATATCTTCTGTACTTCCAATATCGGCCTTGTCCATTTTTCGTACAACCTTAGCCATTTTTGCCAAATTCTTGAACACCATGGAATATTCCTCGTTGCTCTCTGATAAATCGGATCTATTACAGATTCGGTCTTTGATACGTCTTCCAGATAAGTAAGATAATCGTGCCAAATCGTCGCCTCCAAGCTCAAATCAGTTATTGCTCTTTCGTAAAGAACTATGATACGTTTTGGATCACGCTGCTGTTTCTCATGTAACAAATATCCTTTATAAGCATCGAGCAACTCATTTTCCCCTTGAGCAGAGACAAGCTTTTCTTCATAAGGAAGAAGAGAGTTTAACTTTGCAAGAGCGTGTTCGTATCCTATTGAAACACTTTTGTCATCAATTGATGCCTCCGCGCCATCTCCCGCACGCCACAATTGGTATTCCTCGTGTGTCTTTTCCATGTCTAAAAGAGGACACGCTAATTGACGCCGGAACAAATCACCGATTCGTCCTAATTGTTCTTTCTTTTCCGCTATATTCGCGGTATCAATCTAACATAGAAGATTTGGAATAATTATTAAAAACTTGAAGACAAATTGGTTAGGTATGTCCAGATAATATAAACGAGAAACAATTTTACCAGTGCGAATAAAACAATCTCAAATTCTCGAAACGCTTCCCATATTATTGCTCCTTTGATAGTGTGCAATCCAACAGCAGTTAACGCACGTTCAAAGAGTTGACGAACATTCTTAGCTGCATCTTTTTCTGTACCCATGTTTCCAATGCTAAACTGTAGATATTCCAGCCACACTTCTACAGCTAAGCAATAATATATACATTATATATATATATATATTATAGCTTAATGTAAAATAGTTACATAAATTACCGTCTATATAAATACTTAAACTTACACATGTAATCTTTGACAGCTCGGTCACACAGTTGTGTTACTTCAACTTTCTGTTCAGTTGTGGTTGCTAACATGATTTCATCGCGTATCCAGGACAACCAGAGCTCGGGACTCAATGGATACACATTGCTCATATTATTTCTGGCAACTCGCAAGCGATCCAATTCGCCCATTGTTCGCAATTTATTGATCAGAGCTACGTGAGTGGCGTAATCGTATGGATTTTCCGTCAAAGCAGTTTGCAAAGACTTCACTTCCGTTTCATCGGCTTCCTCCTCATCGTCGCTGTCGTCGGATTCGATCTTTTCGACATTTTCGTCGGTTTTCTTCTCAGTTTCGCTCTCCATCGCATCGTCTTCGATCTCGTCTGAAGCTTCTCGGAAAGCTTTCTCGTTGTCTTCTTCTTTCGCAATATCCATTTCTACTTCCATTGTTCTCGCAATTTCTCTATCTATTTGATGTGTTTGCTCTTGTATCGCTCTTACGACAGGTTATGGACAAACTCTGTTCACCGTTTTTTTTCCACTGTTGGAAATCTCACTATATATAGGGTTTTGTTGTTGATATTTAACGAATTTTTTTTAAACTTATACAACTGGAATTAGCGTACAAAATCTCACCGTATTTTTTGATGAAATCTTTAAATATGTTTCCAATCTCTTCTTTTTAAGAGACTTTTTAAACGCAAAAATCTCATTTTCACTTCGAGAAGATTATGTTTATACATGTCTTTTACGTGACCGGAACATAAGTCGCTGCAATCTCTGCCGTCCTGCTGCTGTCTGTTCGCTATGATCCGCGGTTACCGATTAGTTCGATGAGAAATTGAAAAATCGAAGCAATTCAAACGTGTAGGTTTCTCACAAGTATTTTCTTACTTAATAATATAATTGAGTGTTTTTGATTGGAATGATACAGAACGACATTAGGCCACGTTCGGAAACACCACTTGTGTACACACGAGCGTCATTCTATCTTTGTCGTATATATGGCTGCTTTTCTTTTAGGAGACAGTCGACACAGGCTGCGGTCCGTTTCATGCTTAAGCGCACGTTTATCTATAGTATACGTGACATATACTTATAGTTCAGTGGGCAGCTCGTGACGTCACTGGGCAGCTTTTTCCTTCGTCCTATCAGAAGCAAATGTGACGTCATTAGTTTGCGACTCTCTCCCTGAGAGGCTTTCTAGAACGACATGAATCGCTCCCGGAGCAATTAATGACGTCACTTTTTTAAATAAAACAATATTGGTCCGATTTGCTCCGAAAAGCGATTCAACCTTTATCAGTCGAAAATATTATATAATCGGATAAACTAATTATTATAAATTACAACACATCACAGTTAATCGATTTGTTATACAAGTTAACTCTATCGATTATCGAAGTTAACCGCGGCGGAGTAAAAACATTGGCCTAAACTATGTATATATGTCATCTCATAAAAAAAAAATTAAATATTTATACTTATATTTTAATTTTGAAGAAAAGGGTAAGTATAAAAACATCTTGTAATGTTTTTCTGTAGTAATAGTTTGTTTAATTATAAAAAAATACATAAGTGTGTACAGTAGCGAGAATCGAATTCTGTTGCGCGAGGATAATTTCCGCGCATATGCCGGTTTGCGTCGTTGTTTTACACTTGAACCATGCGGTCGACAGTAGCTGAAGGAGAATAACGAAAAAAGGGGCCGTCATTTCCCTCATGAATTTAATTCTCGCCGTTGTGCAATTGATGTAAAATATTTTGTATATGTAATAATATTTTCCATACTAACATAAATTTTCAGTAGAGGGATCTTGCGTCATTGATTAGTCGACGTTGATTAACCAATAATCGCAATTGTCGACACGGTTGAATCACTTCTGTTATAGTATCTACAATATGCAATAATGCTATAATGCAATATGTAATAATTACAAAGATGTAATATTAGGATAAAGAGATTTTACAAAAAATGATTTGATTCGTGCGAGAAGCATGAAAAAATATTTCTAACAATTAGTTGGATTTTCGCGTGATGTTCTCAGAACCGGTCAAAGCAAGTAAAAGCAAACGTAGAAGGAAACTAATCAAGTTGTCCAAGACGTGTCCCAATTGTTGCAAAACATACACAAGAACTGCTTATAAATATATGAAAAAGAGCAAGGTGAGTATATACGCGTAAAAATGTTGCAAAATATACATATATTATTTTCCTTCCGCGTAAATATTACACAGTTTTTTTTATCTTTAAATGTAATATACGAAATATAACTAAAGAGACGGATTTTTATATTATAATATAGCATAGTATAAATAAAGATGCTGTATATACACATGTATACAGCAATTTTCTCTCACGCGATACTATCTCATTGTTATATATCTATATATAAAATATAGCATATGTTTTACAGCTGTTAAATAAAATATGTGAAAATCTTAATGTAACATGGGATTATTAAGACAAGTCTAACTTACAAATTGTCAGAAGCTTTGATATTTGGAAATGTAGGAGTTGGGTAAGTTTTGCAAAGTAATAAGTATAATTTCAACAAATTATAATAAAATTTCAGATTTTACAATAGCATAAGCAGAAAAGTCATCTCACTGTCAAATCCAACTTGACCCCCGTTATATGTTTGAATTAGATACGCGTGCGCTGGACAATATAAGAATACAATAGTTTATTAGACTCTGTAATCTTTTCCCCTTTAGTTCATTTCGTTCTTTAGCTTTGTGTCTTTAAACAGTTTTTTTTTTTTTTAGAATATGTCATCATTGTATAGTAATATATATATACCATAACTACAAGAAACACACAAGCAGTCAATTCTACGTATAAAGAACTTAAAGTGATGAGAAACGTGCAGAATTTTTTCTAGATTAACAGCAAACCGCACTATATTTACCAAGTTTCCTTATTTTCAGTAGTTTGTTACATTTTTATATTTGTCTGTGTACAAAAACTGCACATTTATTGTTTGAACGATATAAATTCTGCTTTCCGAATAAAAATATTAACGATCACCTTCTCCTTTCCACTGTTGCAGGAAGTATAACCACAAGCTTATCTATTTCTGTTTGTGCAACGAATAATAATTCAAGAAAGAACTTAGGCTTATCTCGACATTTTGTAATGGTTTTTCATATGAATCTTTTGTCTAACAACTTTCGTGGTATAGGTATAGGTAATTCAATATTAAAATGTTTCAATTTCTCATCTTGCAATTGTAATTAAATTACATTTAACACACATATAATGAAAAATGAATCTATATAATATAAAGTTATACTACAATAATTGACGCGAGATACTATCGTGCTTTTTTTGATTATTAACAAAATAAAAGAAAAATACACGAATATATTGTAGGTACTGTCACAATGATAATAATAATGCTCACAGGCTTTTACAAAATATACAGTTTTATACGTTTTATCCCAGGTTAATCCCTACCGTTTTATTTTCAGGACGCAGAAAACTTTCTCGTATTATGACTCAGCGGATGATCGACCGGTATTTTTCTGGATTCCCCGCGGGCTTTCATCCAATCATCGAGTCGCAACTTATTGTTGCTTATAGAAGCAGCATATTCCGAACTCTTGTAAATAAGACAGTTTAAATTTCACAAAATGTATAGTGCATTTTTTTCGATTTGAGAACATTATTTACATTCAATGCGGACAAAGCAGTTGGAAGCAAAGCGCTCTGTACAGCCGTTTCTGCATCGTTGTTTTAACTTACATTTTTATGTAAACCGCGAGTAACGTGACATGCTGCGCATGTGTGGTGTAAGTTGAAAGAAGAACAAACTAATGTTAGAATGTGTGTAAAGATGCATATATACATACACACACACATATATACGTGAGTTCATTACCTACGTTGATAATTTTTGCTCAACATATATGCGGCGTTACGTAAAGGATTAAATATAATTTAAATAAAAGTCAATTCTTTGGCCTCTAGATTCTAACTTTGACTGGGAGATAAACTCACATTGCATATAGATCCGGGTACAGAATGTAAAGAGGAAACAAAAGATAAAACAGACGTGATCGCGTAGCGATGAGTTTTTGATTGTGTGCTTACGTAACTAATCGAAGAATAATAACGCGTTATATCGAAAGGATAGATCAATATAATTCTTTGGCTTCACTTTGATGGGTCGCGATGATACTTTTCACACATGGACAATCATAATCGTGATGACTCATCAGAGATATGAGGATTCCCCAGATCTTCCTTTTTACGCTGCAATATAATTATCCAAGAGGGGATACTTCACGCGCACTGTTTGTTTTTCCTTCTTGCGTTCGTCGGCCCATGGATGTGCCGCAAACCGAATGACACGATCCGACTCACGGTTGCTGTGCGGTAGTAAAGTGCCCCACCATCCGAGAACGTATTTTCAATACAGAAATAATAAGCATTTATCCAGACACTTCCAGAGAAGAATTCGGTCTTAGTCTTTATCTCTGCAAAGAGATGCGGTAAGTTCGTGAGGATCTCTCAAAGTTCTCAGAACAAACACACCGAATGATCCAAAGTGAGCGATAAAGTAATGTGCGCGATAGTTATACGCAGAAATTGGCGTCACCTGAGTTTAAAATCCGGTTGACGAAACGGCATGTGAATGCGACTCGCTATCACTAGTTTGGTGGCTGAATAATTGAGGTGCAAAGTGAATGAATACGCAAGTTGTGCACAAGTGAAAACTATTGATTTGTGTATTGTTATCGATTTATCTCACGCAAAGTTTATCCTTTTCAGCATAATAGCCTGAAAACATAAATTAATACAAGAGTGATTTCACGCGCGCACTCTTTTGTGTATGCGCGTATGTGTGAAAGAGCTAGTTTTAATTTGCACAAATATTATCTATTTATTCCAAATTGATATTTTTCTAAAATCTGAGTATATTTTTTCAGCAAAAATGTGATTTTGCATTATTAAAACTTTTAATTTATCCTAAAAGTAAAATAAATTTGTATTAAATTTTTAAATATTATGTAGGTTCACACGATGATTAAGATTTCTATCTTAATCGCATTGCTGCTTTGTACATTAGCACAAATATCCGGACAATCTTCGTGTTCTCAGTACTTTTCGTACATAACTAATCCTATTTCAAAAGAAGTGATGGGACAAATACAGATCCCACCTCCACCAAAAAATGTTCCGCTTCATTTGAAAATGAGCTTAAGCATCGCCGTTAAGCTGCCTACGGTAAATATTATACTACTATTTTTTCGTAATTTTGTAAATGTTTTCTTTTCCAAAAAATGCATGTTTCTCTTTAGTGTATTAAATTTTTTAAGTTATACTGTAATCCTTAAATTTTAGAGATATGTTGGTCAACTGGAACTGGCTCAATCAAAAGAAGAGTCTGTCCGAATAGTACAACAAAGCAGACCACTGCTATATCATATCTATTTTCCTTTGCGTCGACCGCTTCCACAAGTGACCGGGATATGGTTCAATGAACAGCAATATTGTACGGGATCTCGCGGTAAGATCATAAATATATAATTGATTATATATTTATATAATATATAATTTGAGGATATTATGATATTCTGATTTTTTAATTCTTTTTCCTTGTTTTCAACATCAAGTTAAGAACTTTATTCTTTCCGTAAGATACTGCGCGCTATTTGTAAAGACAAAAGATGTAAAGGAATAAAAAAACTCAATCGCAGAAGAGATAAATTTGTTGAAACGTGCAAATTGTTTTCTTTATCCATCTTTATTGGGAAGAGAGCAAACAGTTATTTCTTCTTTATATACAAAATACGTATAATTTTCTCTTTGACAACGTGTAGTTAACAATATTTTTTTTCTAGCGGTGGGACAGATAGTAACTTCTATCACCTTGGAGCACACTTTGTACCCGCCGACCATCGTGCCGCTGTCCTACAATCCTTATTTCAATTCACCCTATTCCGTGCCGAATCAAAAACCAACATCACGTCCTACGCAACCTACTATTCAACGTCCAACAAAGTCTACTCCGAAGTCTACCGTCAGTCTCTCCGAAGGAATAGACCGAAATGTGTTTCTGAATCCTTCGATCCAACAAAACAGTAACGAATGCGGAATTAGCACTACTACCAATATTATAAATCCGCTTATCTCTAAGGGTGAGACGACGTTGCCTGGCCAATGGCCTTGGTTAGTGGCAATTTTTGTCGTAAGGCTTGGTTTTGATTTTCAATGTGCCGGTTCCATTCTGACCAATAAACACGTTGTAACAGGTACGTCAGAAGATTGAAGAAATTTGATACAATACACTTTTACACGCATATATCTTTCGAATGTTCTTCCGTGAAAAAGTTTGTTTTTTCTCACATTACACATGTATACAGGCTTCTTTTATATTGAAAATCTTATTCTATTCCAATAGCATTTTTAGCGAGAATCGAAGAACATTTTTCTACTATTTTTTGTGGTGTTTTTCGCATTTTTGTAAGTAACGTTTTCATGCAGTATATGTAATATATATATATATATGTATGTATGTATATATTTGTAGCGGCTCACTGTTTCAAAGTGGATTCCCAAAGCAACGTAAACATCCCTCCTAGCGCAATGTCCGTATCTTTAGGTCGATATCGACTGCGCGATTTTCGCGAGGTAGGATCTGTAAACCGCGAGATTGCCAGCTACACGCTCCATCCTGATTACACGCACCAGAAGAACGGCGATTCCGACCTGGCAATACTGGTTCTAAGAACACCCGTCACGTTTAATCCTAGAATCAGACCCATTTGCATGTGGTCGGGTCCGGCTGATCTTCAGAGTGTTGTTAACAAATCAGGATATGTAGTAGGATGGGGCCGCGACGAGTTCGGTAACGCTTATCTCGCGGAACCAAGAATGACCAGAGCGCCAATAGTTAGTCAGGTAAGAATATCGCATAGAAACGTTATTTTTGTTTCGAGATTTCTGTTTGGTTAAACTAAATATTATAAGTCAACGTGATAGTATTCTGCAATATTATTGCAATAAAAATTGTCTTATGCTATTAAACACCATGATGAAACGTGAATTGTCCGTTTCATTATTCACTATTGATTATTTACGATTTCATGTAATTAGTATTCAATTCGCCGTACACACACATCTATGATAAATAGAGATTTAGTTTAGGATCGTACAATTACGCAAATTTATATTGCAGGCGCTTTCAAAATAAATATATTGAGTCGATGAGTCAATATACACATAAATGTTCATAGACGTTTTTTTTTTTTTTTTAAATAACATTAAAGCAAAATGCAGTTACTAAAACGTTGCAAATTGACACAAAGAGTGCATATATATATGTGTGTATTTTAATAATCATATGGCGGAATAAGTTTGTTACTGATAAAACTGATCTCAGCATTTGTCGTGACAACTTGCAGGAGGCGTGTCTTCGGAGCGACGCCCAATTTGTCCACTTTACATCCGATCGTACTCTTTGCGCTGGTTCACGAGATGGAAGTGGTCCTTGCAACGGCGACAGCGGGAGCGGTTTAGTGCTTCACGATGCTAAAACAGGCCGTTATTACTTACGCGCTGTTGTTTCGCGATCGTTGTTCGATCGCAACGGGATGACCTGCGATCTCACGAAATATGTCGTATTCGTCGATGTGGCCAAGTACAGGTCCTGGATTCAACAACAGATCTCCATTACGTAACTACTTGTGTCATTTTATTGTAAATACAAGAAAAAAGTACTATAAGTAGACAAGCTTTTCGATACAATACTCTTTATGCGAGACTACGACAATAATTAAAGAAACATGCAATATATAAAGTTGCAGTAGTATATGAATTTCATTTTTAACTTTTTATACGTTACTTCCTTTTTTAGTGTATATATTAAGAGTTACAAGTACGAAGCGGCAACAAAAAAATTACACTTGGGATAATATTCAAAAATAAACTTGTGTTATTCTTTACAATTTAACTGAATGTCTTGCTTTCCATTTTTATTATTTGAGCTTTACATACTTGTTTAACAAAATCTTGTTATTGTTAATAATAGGTGTGCGCGTTTGTACAGAAATAAAACAGGAAAAGTAAAAGTAATCATTGCCTAGCGGCAATGCTGCGTACAATGCATTTGTAAATGTTGTATTAATATATTATATATAATGGAAACTAATACCTACTGTGTTGATATAATATAACAATGCCTATATTAAGTGTTATAGTTATCAGAAGATCGAATCTCGTTATCCATCTTTTCCTTTGAGAGAACTTTAAACGATTATTTATAATGACTAAATTATATACGTTGGTTATAAAAATTAAGTCAATCCTTTATTTGTTAAAAAAAGTTTATTTGTTTGAGATTTTTAATTTTTAAATTATTCGCGCACGCGCAAAAGAGAATGGAATATTCGAAATTGATACATCAAAAACTTTAGTGCTCGGAGTGTTACACACACACACGTTTTATATAACGTAAATTATCTATATATAGAGGATGCCAGATATACTGAGATATTTATTATATATATACACATATATTTCGCGATATATTATGATTTATAATTTTCGAAGAATTGTAAAGGAGACAGTGTTTTTTTATTCTTTTTCAAATAGAGGCACACTAACCAAGAAGCGCACTAACTCTCTTTCTCTCTCTCTTACGCTCAACGATTTTTTTCTCGCTTCTTTTTTCATCTTTTTCCAAATTGACGTGGCACTTTTCTGCAGACCTTTTATGTCACACAGTTGAAAAACATTGGTATTTTGTAGAGGTATAAAAATATTACATATAAAATAACATTTTTTTATATCATAAAATTATATAGTCTTTATTGTCCCATAGCAGAAGATATAAGTAAATGATTTATCATCTTGAAAATAACTTGCTAAGGACTTGATAGGCCCGTAATAGGGATAAAAATTCAGTGACGTGTATACATCTGCGTACTTTAAACTTGATTCGAATCAGGTTGAAAGTATTGTCGTGCAACTGCACCTAGTACGATTTCCGCACTGTAAACATCTGTGAAATTTTAACATACGTGAGTAAGTGTTATATATTACAAATAGATCGTCTGTCGCTTCGTAATAGAAAACACACGTGATAAAAATATTTACTCTTACGAGCAATGAAATTACTTGATTACTTACTGATATTTGCGTGCAAGACATCAGAAAGAAGATGGAGATCATTTTCATGGGTAACGATAATATAATTTAATTTGCCAGCGTTTAATTCTTGTATTTGCGCAATCGATCTACGTGTCTTTTCCATTGTGCCTCCTGCACTTTCTATTATTTCCGCGATTGCCGAAGGAGACGGTATCACACTTGGCGTTACGTAAAATATTTTACCCTGTTTCAACACATGAAAAAATAAAAAGAACATTAAAAACAAAGTCGTATGTTTAAATTAGTATGTAGGTGGGTGAGAAAGAAATATCACATTAGCTGTGTGTGTGATTAGCAATCAATATTTATGTATGATTAGACCGTAAGAAATTCGTTACCTTAAGTACTGTTCCTCGATTGGGACTCGCTAAAGCTTTTTCGATATTACAATTGAAGTTTTTTTCAAATTCTGCATCACCGAGCATATATGCGCCCTCATCGACGAATGTGTTTTTCGCAGAGCAATCGAGTAACCATTGAAGATTGACAATATATTTACATCGGGATAAACAACATAACAGCTTTACTGTTCGTAACGGTGCTGACATAACGAGATGAGTAGCGTCTCGCCAGCTAGCAGCCAGAACACCTCCCAGTTCTCGAATCCTCTGAAAATCATATGTAGATCGCATTGTAGTCACTGAACGATGATACAATATATTATAAGCAAAAAAGATTTCTCTCAATTACAATTAAATATAAAATACGAGACTACCACCTTTGCATGTTTTCGAGGATTTATACCGGAAAACAATATTCTCGGTTGTTTGTCAGGCGTCGGAGGATCAGGATTGCTAACAACGATCTGTTCATCTAGACCCAAAAGGTGAGGATCTTTATTCAACAGCGGACCGTCCAATCTTGGTTTTTTATGTTTTCTGATCGAATTTGGACCTTGTGCAACTTGTTTTACTTTTCCATATGACTCTTGAGAAATATTTATCGGCATTTTCCAAGCAGCTACAAAAAGGACAAGCGTAGAAAATTATCTGCTGTACAACAGTGTAATAAAAATTTTTTTTCAAATATCTAAGATTTGTTATACCCATTAGATGAGGCACTAGTGAATGATCTAATCTGAAAGGATTGTTCAAACTGAACTGTTGATACTTTGGACTGTCGAGTTGATGCAAGGCATTCATTTGTCCGCAAAGCAAATCCGTCAACCATTGTGCGTTTACAACGCTGGTTTGCCATTCGCGCGCTTTTTTATATTTTTGTCCATCTGGTCTAAAGCAGAATATTACACATCGTTGCAATACAATAAAATAAATAAGGAATAATATACGCTTGAACTAGAACCAAAACTTTCAGATACCGCAATGATCAAATACCTTCTACAAATAAGAAGAGTGTTATGTCTGGAAAAGTAATTCGTGTATTTTGCACCCAAAGCCTCTAGCATATATTTTACTTTTGCCCGTTCTTCTCCCTCAAATCCGGACAAGGACACAATATGTTTGACACAGGGAAGTTCGGTTAAGCTGAACGGCGTTGGAAAATGGAGAACGTGCCAAGGAAAATTTACTTGCTGCTTACTGACAACATCAGAAAGCCAGTGCGCGCTGACACAACGTTTTCCTTCGCGCAAAGCTTGCACCACGGTTGGATGTTTTTGCGTAATAGCTAATACGTGAGTCGCACGAGTGCAATATTGCGGCTCTACTTCGCCGCCGTGTCTCTCGATGACTTGTTTCCAGACTAAAATTTCATTCGGACGCTGCACGTCGTATTCAACAATGACGAAAATGCATCCTAACAAAAACAAGTCTGGTGGCACTGAAAATACAAATATTTTTCCGTAATTTCGTCGACGGAATATGTAACAAAAATAAAACACCTTTCAAAGTCAAGAATTGTTATAAAACAATAACAACAATGACAATAAAAGAAGAGATACGTACGTTTTAAGTTTGGATTGTGACCGTAAAACTGGGCTTTAGGTTGTGGCATAACCGGAGCGTATTGCATCTTTAAAGATGCTCCCGACGGAGCACCGTTTGTTATATTTCCCAAAGTCTTTCTTTGATAAGCGGCTAAAAGCTGTGGATCTTGCGAAGGAGGAGGTGGAGGTCTGTGCTGCGCAGTCATCATTCTTAATTGACCAGCCGCGCTACCTTCAGCAGCACCGGTTTGTATTCTGTTACTTAGCATGTTAGCCAGTGCTGTTTTTGTTTTGGCATTTAGTTGCTGATCTGCCGGGATCTGCGCGTTATTTGACAGAGACGATAACGACGCATCTTGTTGTTGTGCGCCTTGTTGCTGCTGCTGCTGCTGCTGCTGCTGCTGCTGCTGTTGTTGTTGTAGATGCTGCAGTTGTTGCAGTCTAGCTATCTGTTGTTGCTTTTGCATGTGCAACTGTGCTAACTGTTGAGGTGTCAATTGTCCCTGTTGGAATGTCTGTCCCGCCTGAGACGCTTGTAATCCTTGAACATTTTGACCGGCTGGCACAATAACTTGATTGGAAGAATTTATTGGAGTTAACGCCGGTGGTTGCACCCCGGGATGTACGGGTTTTTGTCCGGGGGCTTGTGCAAGTTGTGGTCCCATCATCTGCGGCCGAGCTTGTTGAACCCATTGTAAATTGCCCGGTTGTACCGGTTTACCAGGACTCCTTATAACGATATGTGGTGAGTTTTGTTGTGCCTGACGACTCTGCATCTGTCTCTGAGATATTTGTCGCCTCTGAAGTCTCTGAATAAACAGAGCTCTCTGTTGTGTATTCATTTGTTGTAGCTGCTGATGCGTCTGCGCATCCAAATGAATCAACTGTCTAGGAGGTTGAGGAGGTTGCTGGTTCCATTGTCCTCCAGTAGATCTCTGAGCGCCAATTTGCTGTTGCTGTCTTTGCAACTGCAAGTGGTACTGCTGTTGCTGCCATTGCGAATCTCGTTGTACTGAAATAAATCCTTGCTGATTCGGTCCGAGTAATTGTTGATTTTGCGATTGTTGTTGCAATTGACCATCTCTTAGAACAAACTGTTGAGTGTTCTGCGGAGCGGATTGTTGTAAATGCTGCGAAATCTGTTGTATCTTTTGTTGTTGTTGTTGTTGTTGTTGTAACAAGATTAATTGCCTTTGTTCCGGAGTGACGTGTTGAGATGGAGGTGGCTGTTGATTCAGTTGATGCTGACTCGCAATCTGCGATTGCTGAGAAGACAGTTGTTGCTGTTGTTGCATTACTATCTGTTGTTGTTGTTGTTGTTGAGCTACGTGCACTTGTTGCTGTGCCAAATGTGGCTGTTGCGACTGTAATGGCTGCTGTTGATTTATCTGTTGTTGTTGAACGTTGATTTGATGTTGATTTAATTGCTTTTGTTGCGACGTTAATAATGCTTGTTGTTGCGCAGGTATCTGATGCTGTGATAATTGCGAATTTATTTGTTGTTGCTGTTGTTGTTGGTGCTGCTGCTGCTGTTGTTGTTGTTGCGTAATCATCGGCTGCTGTCCGAGTGATTGCTCTTGCTGTCCTATTAATTGCTGTTGTTGAGATGGTACTTGAGACGATTGTTGTTGATTTAGAAGTTGGTGAGGATTATACGACGTTTGTTGCATATGTTGTTGATGTTGCGTTAATTGTTGCTGTTGCATCAATTGTTGCATATTTATTTGTTGTTGTTGCGGCGATAGCTCTTGCTGTTGTATTTGCGGTGTCACAACTTTCATTTGTTGAGAAATATTGCTTTGCTGAGACGCCTGTGGAAGCCAAGTGGTTTGGCTGACAATATTCTGATCGGAGATTGGCGGAATAATTGTGGAAGTGCTTAAATTGGTTGAAGAAATTGACCGAAGATGTTGTTGTGATTGCACAGTATTTTGTCCATTCGTCGAATAAGGAACGGTTATCGTGCTGCTTGCACCAAGGCTGTGAGAAGCACTTGAAACTGGTGGACTGGGCTGATTCCATGGCATCCGTTGCTTGAGCTGCTCCAACATGGCCTTAGTTCTGTCTTGTTCTTCTTGCGCAACATTATTATCAATATCTTCGTCCATAAATCCAGTAATCATAGCGGTTGAACTATTTGGAGATACAAGCAATCTAGGATGATACTCCACTTCGCTCACAAGAGCACCTTTCTTGCAACATTCTGTTATCCAATCAGGCGTTATAATGTTTATATGATGTTTCATGGCAGTTTCATATTTTGCGCCACTAGCTTTGCCTGTGATGAGATGAGTGCAATATTTATCCAAGCGTAGTTGACATTTCCCACCTTGCAATGTTATCATTGCCCAGAGCAACTTGCTGTCTGTTCGACTTATTTGCGATAGGCAGACACGCACATTTGAGAATAATTGATCTTCTTCCGGAGAAAAGTATTGCGCTCTGTTTGAATAACTTAATTAAAGAAAATAGTACTTTTTAAAATGTTATATAAATTCATATTTTAACATTCGACACCTATATAAAAATGACACTAACGAGGTTTAAACGGTTTTGTTCCTTTTCAAAATTTGAATTAGAGACTTGAAAGTCTTACATTAGTCTAAAGTTGAGTGTTTAACTAAATAGTATTATAAAAGAATATATTTTATTGTAAAGGATACGGTAGAAGTTTGTTGCATTTAACAGAATATAAGATCCAATTTTGTGTAACTGCTGGAATCTGATATAGGTCCTTTGCTTCGGAAATATCATTTTCTAGTGCTTCGTAACCTGCTATCAAGTGTGTAACAAAATCACTAAAATAATTTGATCTTTCAGCCCCACCTTCTTGCAGCAAATTCAAAATCTAAAAATAATTTGAAACAATTACTCTACAAGTTATAAGTACTTAATATTAACATTACACAATAATTAAATTAAAACTTTTTTAAAAGAGTCAAAGTGCTTAATGTTAAAAAGCATTGCTTAATGTTCAAATTTTCAACATTTAACTTTATTTATACATTTATACATTTTTATATTATGAATATAAATATATATTCATACATTATTGAATAAAAGAAACAAAAGTAAACTTATGTAAGATAAAGACAATGTGTAGCATTTACAAATACATAATACATAGTACATAGTACATAATACATAATACATAATACATACATACATACATACATACATACATACATATATACATACATATATACATACATACATATGTATACATGTATATGCAACAATTTTAATGCTCAAAGAAATAAATGTTATTGTAACTCAAGATATGTAGTAGTAAAATAAACTTGAATAATTTGTTTTAAGAAGAGTTCTAATAAAAAAAAATGATTGTGTCAAGTGTAATGTGTTTCAAAAATTATAACCTCCACAGATTAATACAGTTGTTTTTGGAATAGAATCATATTTTCTTCAACATATCGCGTAATTAGCACAAAAGCAGTAAATTTGGCAGATGGAACACCTGCCAAATTTACTGCCAATCTATCGATCATGTGAAAACGCGGGAAATGTCGAGACATGTACCTTAGGATCGCCTTCACCGCTGACGTAGTATTTAATGTTGGCAAATAGAGCACCATCGAGCTTCAAGTCGTCTAAACCAGCTCGTATGTCGCCCATCTTGCCGACACTGTTCGCCAAAGCTCATGTGTTCGACATCACACCAACAAACCGCGTGCAGCCAACGGGTTAGATAGAAAACAATTTGCGATATTTGACGACAAAAGCCACTCTCGCGACGCTTTTGTTATTATTATGATTGCAGGTTATGTAGCGACTTTATGTGGCGCTACTTTAGCATGTTCATCGTTTAATCTACAACGCTCACTTAGAGCGCGTGATTTAAATTGCGAATTTTAATCAGATTTAATTGATGTCACCATCAACAATCAAATGTAATATATATGTATATATATAATAATTGTACCAAAAAATAAAAGGATTGAGAAAAACATTTCTTTATTCTTTGATTAAAACTAAAATTTAAAAATCCCCCCCCCAAAAAAAAAATATATATTATATATATATATATACATGTGTGTGTGTATATATACACCCACATGACATCGTTAGTAGCACAAACGTTTCTGCAACGAGTTTTCCGAAACTTAGCAACGTTCCGTTAAAAGTCTTTAAAACGTCGTACTAACGTAGAGGAAACGTCGAAATGTGAAATATTGTAAAATACAGTTTTGAAACCATGCAGATTTTGCCTGCTTAACTATTCTCCAGGAAGGAGTGATTAATTAATTATTTTACAATGTTTATAAAAATTTAAACATTAAAAACTTTGCAACTTATTAGGCAACGTTTCTTATACGTTTCTACGAGATCGGACCGCAACTTAAAAAGCGGACATTTCGACGTTTCCGTTACGTTACTACGACATTTTAGAGACTTTTAACGAAACGTTGCTAAGTTTCGGAAAACCCGTTGCAGAAACGTTTGTGCTACTAACGATGCTATGTGGGTATATACACAATATATTAAGTCGTATTAAATATGATTAAATCTTTAATAGAAAATGAAGTAAAATTGTATCTTTTTAATCAAATAAAGACATTGTGCATTTTTTGTAGAATTATATGTATAGCTATAGTTTGTGGAAGAAAAAAAAACTATGATAAAATGTAATTCATCAAAATTATTATACTAAGATAAAAATAAAACAACAATCGCAACGATTGAAAACATTTGCTTTATTGTATATTCCTTTCGTCCTTCTAGTAGGTACATATTAGCATCTAAAATGCTCTTCCTTGTGTAATCCAATAAAATTCAGATCCTTGCACTAACTTTTATATATTATTTGTATTTTCTATTCTTTTTCTTCATAATCATATATATATATATATATATATATATATATATATATAGAATACACACACGCACACATATACTCTCTTTTATAGATGTATATATATATATATACATGTGTGTATGTGTATATACATATATACTCTCGTCTGCTCTTTTTTTGTCTCTCATTCATAAATAAATAAAATTATTAGCTAATATATACAATATCTTAATAATTTCTTTTTTCTTATAATTTAATAGTTATATTTGTTGCTTCATGATAGATGTATCTTGTAAAGACTCTAGAAATATTGAGCTTGGTCTGGTCAGTATACCTAGTAAATATATTCTTATTTTTTGTCATTTAAAATTATATGTTCATTTCTCTCTCTTTTTTTTTCTCTGATTTTTCTAAAATTATTTATTTCTTTTCTCTCATTTTATACAACCGACTAGTATCTCCGTTTGTTCGTGCGGTGCAGCTTTTCAGGAATATGATTGAATAAGTAACACGGAATGCAGAACTATCAAACATTTGTTAATGAAATGACAAAGTAATACAATATTTCCAAGTGTATACTGGTGTTTAAATATATTCTTATCGACATTCCTTTGCGACTTTCGATTCTCATTTCAAAATAATGTCATAGCTTTTTTCTGAGCTCTCATTATGTACAATTACAATTAAGATGTTAAAAAAAAGTACAAGTTTTGAGTATATAATTTCAGTATAATATTTCTTCAGGCACACCTGTAAATATTTACAATTCACATACATTGAATGTAAATATGTGAAAAAATCAAGTACTTTGAGCTCTTTCGGCACAAAATTTGTTTAAAAAAAATTACAAAAATAAAGAAAAAAAAAAAGATAAAAAAAACAAAAATTTAATTTTTGAAAGAATATAAAAACCATTGTACATATGTGTACTCTTACAACACACACACACACACACACACAACAAGTTTTCTACAATACAATTACTGCAAAGTTGCTATATAAAACATCATATAAAATGTCGATTAAATGTTAATTTCAAATAAAATCAAAAAGACGTTACTTGATTGTTAAAAAATGACTGTTGTATCAATGAATATAAAAAACTCCTCGTAATATTCTGTCCATCTCGGCAGAGAATATTGGTGAAAAGAAATTTATTAAACAGGGTCGCCAGCCTATCTAATTAAGGAGACCTATCACAGATACTGAGAACTAAACTCATACTAAGATAATAGATTAGATAAAAGAAAAAAGTATCGCGACAAGAATACATAAACGGGATTACATCATAGTCTCGCTGCAGCTTGTTATACAATCGAAGTCTAACTGTGAATACGGACGATGATCGTGTTCGCAAAAAGCTGCACTACCACTGGACCCGGCCAGCGGGTTGCACCATCCGTCGGAGCGTATCGTGTTCGTGAGGTAACACAGTATTTCTAGAATCTCATTAATGCGCTAGGAACCCGGGCTGGCATTGTCGCCGCTTCTTCTTCTCGCTTCGAGTTGCTTCGCCAATAAAGCCACTTCCCAATTATTGTAACCATCTTGCCGTAAAATCTTCTCATCTTCGTCTTCCTCGTCGTCTTCCTCGTCACCTTCATCACTGTCATCTTTGCGACGGCTATAGATATCGAACTCCTCGTCCGATCTGCTGTCACTGTTCGACTCCAAGTCAATCGCCACATCCTCACACGACAGTCTCTGAGGCACTATCGAATTAGGCAACTCTTGCAGCTCCAGGGTTTCTTTTTCCGAATGTTCTTCCCACGATCGTCTGCTGCGCGAGCTCGACCCGATCGACGAATGTCGCTCACGCGATCTCGTAGTTAGAACGGTATCCACAGAACTGTCTCGCATGAAAGGATGGTCCTCGTGATCATCATCGAGATCCTCCTCCATGGAAGCGTCGTGCTCTGTGCTGTCCCCGCCGAAATCGTCCTCGCCGCGCGATTCTTGTTGCTCCAGTTCTTGTATTCGCGTCTGCAGCTGCGCAATTATCTCGTCGCGTTTGCGAACTTCCAACTCCAGCGACGTGAAATGTCGCTCAAATTTGCTTTGTATAGCCTCCTGCAATGTCAAAAACAATGGTATAATTAATCAAAGCGTAAGATCATTCGTTAATGAACAGAAGAATACGAGCTGGATATATATATATATATATATATATAGAAGAATACGAATAGAAGAATACGAGCTGGATATATATGTATATATATATATATATCCAGCTCGTATTCTTCTATTATATATATATATATATATAAATGCGCACTCATGGCTATAATTTGTGACATAATTGAGAAATCTTTTCTTCTTTATCGTAAGTATAAGGGTAACTAATGAGAAAACGCCAATCTTAAGCCTTATCTTGTAACTCTAACAAAAAAATTCATACATATTTAACGATGAAACTGCTATTATATAAAAGCTATTATGTAAAAGCAATTCTTTACACGTACAATACGAATGAACAAAAATGAAAATGTTCCAAATGTATGTAATCACTAATTTGAAACGTTTTACTGTTTTCATGAATAAAAAGTATTCTACTTCCTTAAATGAATATATTAATAATTGTCATCAAACTATATAATTAAGTATAAACGTAAAATTATTCGAAATCAATTAAGCATAATAAAAAGTAAATATATCAATTTTATTTTTTAAAGTCGATACCTTTTTTGCTAATACAATTAAATACTAATTTTTAAAATTTAAAACCTACAACTCATTATTCTATTTCTCTTAAATACTACTTTTATAATTCTTTTAAATACTTATTTTTTTAAGTTTTACTATGTAATCAGTACAACAATACATTTAGTTTTTGGGGGGTTTTTGAATTACCTTACCATCACATTATTATCTTACCTTCGTTTAATAAATATCAATCAATAAATTACTGTATTTTCTTATTAGTTTCTAATGACTTATGTATTTTCTACTAATGTACTTCTACTTTTTTAATTAAACCATTAGACTAAATTAAATTATTAGACGTACTTTCTAATAATTTAATTTAAATTAAATTAACAGTTTTTAATTATAAAATATTTTATAAATATTTCATAAATTAGTGTCATATAATATGAAAATAAGCAATAGTTTTTAACATTGTGTAAGTATTGCATCAACGTTGAAAAAATTATACAATATATCAACAACATTACAGGAATATCATTCGGTAGTGAACATATTAATGTATTGCGAAAATTTTTTAAGAATTTGCGATGTAACATTTCAATAATAATATTGCAAAATAATATTCCTGCAATGTTGGTTTTCAGCAATAGTTAGTGCTGTAAAGAAATTTTTATAGATATATAGATAACGCAAAAAAAAATAATGAAATACCAAATCAAGCAATAATAAAAAAACAATTATTTAAAATTAAAAAGAATGTAAACTGTACGTGTATATTTGTCCGTCAATATAGAATAAAATACTTTTAATACTCTGTTGATAAAAACAAAGATATCGATTAACCGTAGTTCAAGTGTTGATTCTTTCTCATGCTAACAAGATGCGACGCCGTTCTTAATCAAGAACCACTTTGGCGCATGCGACAACCAAGCGATTACAAAACATGATCGGGCTATTGAAAACAGGGAGAAAGAAAGTGACAGTCGCGGCGATACTTGCCAGACCAGTCTTGATGACGTCGGCGACTCCAGAGAACAGTTCGTCTAGGCACTCCTCCTCTCGAGATACTGTTTGCAAGACGCCGACACTGCCTACAGGACGGAAACTGAATTTATTGGGCGGTGGCAGTGACGGCTGATCTTGACACTCGGACAAGGGCCGCTCGGATGGCGGGCTTTGCAGCGTGTACTTATTGAAAGTCACACTCTTGGACAATTTGGAGTGCCGCGCTGCATAACCCTCGATCGTTGGTGCTCTCATCAGCCTCTTGAGCTCGGCGGTCGCGGCCTCGCGATCTGGCGTGCTCGTTGCCGAGGTCTCGCTGCTGCCGGTCCTACTGCTGGCTGACAGTTTCTTCAGAATACTCTTCAGGTTCCGCCTCTCCAGCGTTTCGTTCTCCGGCGACAATTGTTCCGAAGCTGTCGTCTGTCGATCGTAATTATGACAAAATGAAAATTAAAAATTGTTCGTTTCATTAATAATTTGAATTGTTAATTATTATTTCGCGCGTTTTTGCGTGTAATAATTTTATCAATGACATAGTAATGGTTAGTTATTTGTTATTTATTTGAGATATTTTTTTATTTTTATTTAGTAAGCAAATAGATGTACAAGTATGAGCAAGAGAGGAGAGGTTTTAGGAATTACATAAATTACATTACAGGTTTCTCTCGATTCTGGTAACTTTCATGCAAATAAATATCTCATATATGCGCAATAAATCTTAAGGCATTAATTAGTGTTTTATGATTTTTAAATAGCAAATCCTTCTTGTCTATTTACCGAAAATATACGCATTCGCGAACCTTTTTTTATTGAATAATATAACCACTTACTTGATTGTATTTAGCAAGCTTTCTGGCGTACTCAATGGCGCAGGCTTCCGAATGACTTCTTGTAAGGTTACTGTCAAATTCCGGCTCGGTGTTCTCGCCGCAGTCGAGAGACGAACTTCTGACCGCCTTTTCCAGCTCGGCCAGCTTTTGCCTTTCGTTAAGAATTTTAAGTTTCTTAACAAACGGAAGACCGCAATACTCCGGCGAAAGATCGTCGACGGAAGCGTACATCTTGGTCTGTTGTAGCTTTCTGGTCGGCGGACTTTTCTGAGGCGAATTTCCTTTGGTGGGAATTTTTAAAGACGCGTTTTTCAGCGTGGTCCAAGGCTTTTTGATTATATTGGTTTCTCGCGTTTCGGCTTCCAACGTCACAGCGGAAGTCGCGGTGGCACCAGTCTGAGTAGATGTGGACGGCTGTTCGTCCGACTGCGTTTCCTCGGGAATACTATTTTTGGACAACAGGGGTTCTTTTGTAAGCGGCTCCTTCTCCGCTTGGCCAGTCTCTTCGTTCTTCGCTTTCAGCAAGAGAATCCTTTGCAGGAACGGTAAATTCGGATTAGTAGGATTCAAGGCCTCCGATGGCGGCGGTTGTTGTTGCACACACTGCTCTGCGGTGTGACTCTGCGATGTATCCATTAAATTTCGCCGTTCTTCTCTTTCTTCTTTCTCTTTCAGAAGTCTGAGTCTCGATAGCAGAGGTAGACCAGCGCCCAACGGTGACACTGGTGGTGGTTCCTGGCTATTTGGCAAGGACAAGTCTTGACCGTCGTCGATCTTCTGCTGCCTTTTCAGAACCGGCAGTTTTGGCGTTAGTGGTTGAAGCTCCAGACTCTCCTCCGGTCGAGTGTTGCGTCTGCTCTTTCTTAATACGTTCTTCAAGCCTTTTACGTCACTTTTCAGCTTATCGACAATCCTCTTGCCGGTACTGTTATCGGAGGAATCGTGTCCAGGCGATGTAGGTTGGCGCGATGCCCGCGCTACTCTTTGCGCTTCCATCAGTCGCTTCCGGCCAAGATTCTGCAAGATTTCTTGTGCCTCCGGATAATCCTTCATTGCAGCCAGTACGTCCTCCCGTGAAAGACTGAACAGTTCGGAATAACCTACCGAACGAACGTCAGCTGTGCGTCTGAAAAAATTTCCAAATATATATCTCGTTCTTACATATCTATTACAAATATCTATTAAGGTATATTATTTCCGGAGACAACCGAACTTATAAACAATGAATACGTTTTAGTTTTTCAAAAAGAATAATAGGCTTTTTCAATTAGTATCAATCAATCTTTTATAAAATAGTGAGTCTTGTGTGTGTATAAAGATAGAAACCATCTCCTTTCATTTCCGTATAATCATTCTATTGTCGATCGTGTTGCAATCGCATTTTGAACGCGCGCGCGTGTGTGTAAGAAGAGAGATTTTACTTACTTATTCAATCCGTCAAGATTGAGTATACCAATCTCGCCGAAAAAGTCTCCGGCCTTCATTGTTGTAAGGACTCTGCCAGTTTCGCTGATCACTTCCAAAATACCGTCGGCTATTATAAACATCTCACGAGCGACCTCGCCTCTTCGACATATCGAATCACCGGGGGTGAAAATGTAGGCCTTCATCTTCAGCACGAGATCGTGAAGAAATTCCGGCTGACACTCCTGTAAGACATTATCGATTTGCTTAAGCGATATTAATTTATGTATATTTTATATATGTATATACATACAAATTAATAATTTATAAAAATTTAACTCTGGTTAAAGATCAAAATTTTTTCCGCTTGTAATATTTTTATCGCATTTTTTATCTCTCGTAAATATATATTCACGATTTTTATTTTTGTTTTCATAAATCTTTTAGCAATCACCGCAAAGAAAAGCTTTTTACTACTTTCTTAGCAGATTGATGATACATTTTGAAAAAAATGCTTGATGTAGTCGCGAGATGATGATTGAAATATTATGATTTTTTTTCCGGTCGGTTACTAGAAAGCTCTTTAATAACAGACGGCTCACTTGACTCGATTTTCCGTTGTGATATTTCGTTCGATCAACAGCGCAAACCGTCAATCAGTGGTGCATTTTTTGACGAGTCTATTTCACTTTTGAGTCGAAAATATACAACCTCCGCTCCTCTCCCGAGATCGGAATTGTTATCCTCCAATTATTGAAGTCTCTTTGGATCTTATTCAGAATCAATTAATTAGAATAATCGTTACAATTATAATAATATAAATAATATGAATAAAAAAATATTTTGCGTTATCATCTTACTTCCTTACCGAAAGATAAACTTGATTGATATTTTACACAAGTAAAATGATAGGTTGAAAAACAATATTTCACGCGGCATATTTCTTTCTGATTTTTAAAGTAGTACATGTAGCTACAGTAAAGCAAAAAGATTTTGTTTTTAAAAATGTTTAACTAGATAAAAAAATCCAATTATTTGCATAAAATATACAAACTTTCCAACATTTTAATATGCGTTAGCTTCGCGTTTGTTTTGTCGTAATATCACTCGTTAAAAAATGAAACTCTGTGACGTAATATAATTTCACAATATAAATTATTGTATTATATTTCTTGTAATTAAAATTAAAAAAAAAAAAACATACATGTGCAAGTAAACTTGTAAATATTGAAAGTGTATACGTACATTAATTTTCAAAAAGTACGCACATTTATCGAATAGCATATTTATAAAAAAAGTTATATATGTATTGAGTAAATAACAATAACACTTTGTAAGCTCACTATTGTGTATATTGAGAAAGTTGAAGTAAGATCAGGTTCTCCCGGCTTTGTTCTTCACGAAAATCTATCACGAAAGGATACAAACTATGTTCGACAACTTTAATTAGTTTTCTTGTTTGACTATACGTAAGAGAAAAGAGGACTAGTGATCATGTCATTTTAATTAACAATGATCTCAAATAAATATATATATATATATATATATATATATGTGTGTGTGTGTGTGTGTGTATGTATATATATATATATATATGTATATGTATATATATGTATATATATGTATATATATCATCAGATACACTTCAAATAAATTTATTTAATAAGGAACTTATTTAAATTTTGGTTGTTGTGTTTTTTCTCTATTTCTTTTTTGCTAAAAATTTTCAAACAAGTCTCAAAAGCTTGCAGCACTTCGCTTTATATCGCTTTATACGCTCCATTTACCTTCCGGCAAGCTAACTGTTTAGATCTATCTTATTCTTTGTATTGGACTTTTTTTATGTTCCGCACTTTATTCTGGCCTTGAGTTCTAAAAAAGAAACTTATATCTTAAAAGTTCAAACAATATGTAAAATCTTGGAAACTTTGTACAAGAAAGTATAATTTTTATGTAGAAAGATAATATAGTTTTCAATACAAATCTTTATTCTAAATTATTTTTGTTTGTAAAATGACGACTCTTCTCTGTATAAGATGTAAAAAGTTCCGAAACAATTCGTAACACATCTTTTGTATCTAATGAGCTTTTGACCAACTTTTTAAATACTTGATAGTATGCAATCCTCCACATTTGTTTTTTTCTTTTTGTTTCGTTTTTATCATGCGAACGTCGTCCGTATTACCAACACGAACCATCACATGATAGCAAAACTTAGACAAACAAAAGTTATGCAAGTAAATCTTTTCTTTATAGCAAAGTTAGAAATATCTATTCTTGAATCACTGCTTGAATATTTACACGAATGATAAAAATAAGTAATTTTTTTACAATTGAAACCATTCTTGGGGATGTCACAAAAAAAATTCAAAAAACATTTTCACCAAGAGTAAATAACAGCCACCTTAACGCGGTCTATAAGCTTACCTGGAAAATAGTAACTTTCTTGAGCACCGAGAGATTCACGTGCAACGCCAATTCGGTTTTGAGCTTGTCCGGAAGCAAACCGAGAGCGGTGTTGATGTCACCGCCGCCCTGTATTCTGCCACGCGACCAGCTGTAGTCGTACCACCTAAGAACCCGTCGTTTCATACCGCCCGGTACCTTGTGATGCCTCATATAAGTTTTGGCGCCGTCCAAGAGTCTCTCGAACTCCAGACGATTAGCGTTTCTATTGGTAATGACGTTACCGACCTGGCCAACGATCGTCGCGAATATGAAGACACCGATCAAGTAGCTGACTATCGTGAAGACATATCTGTGAATCAGGAAGAGAGAAAAACAGCCAATCAATCTAAAGAGAATGTAAACAATATCCTACGTTCACGGAGACGAGCGGCCCTCGCCGGAGCCTTCTTCCTTTCTCTCTCTCTCTCTCTCTCTCTCTCTCTCTCTCTATTTATCTTTTAATTTTTTTATTATTTTTCTTACTTTCAATTCTCTTTTCAATGCGTATACCTCTTTTCATTCATTTTCTATTCTTTTTTCTATATTCTAGTATTACTGACACAAACAAACAACCTGCTAATTTTGTACTTTTTGCTTTCATTCTCTGTGTTCTATAAAACAGAAAGAGATGATAATAAGCATTTGATTTTCACCCGCGAAGTCGCGTATTCTCATCAAATTGCCGAATCAAATAAATAATCGAGTGTCATTTCGAATTGCTATTATTTTTCCGATTCCTAAAACTGGAATCAAATTAGCTTAGACTCTTCTTAGAGATTTGCAATTTCTAAACGTGTAAATAAACTACTTGAGATATGTGTGTGCGTGTGTGTGTGCGTGTGTGTGTATGTGTGTACACAATAATATTTTAAAAGTTTGTATGAAACACTACTGTTATATATAAGTACACATCATACCTTTTCAGAGCTTCTTTTATTCTATAATTTTATTAAATATTTAAAAAACGTACATGAAAAGAATATACATATTTATCATAAATGTTTAATAAATCAAATTTATAAAAAAAAGAAAACTGTAACATATTTCTGAATTCTATTGTTTACAACAATATTTCAAATTTTTCCTTCAAATAAATATAGAACATAAATAAAATATAGATATAAAAAACAAAGTTGAGATTTATTTAATGCAAAACAATAGTTTGGAAAGAGAAATATCTGTCATTTTCACTATAAAATAGTATCGATTATTCTGATCGACATGCTTGAGATCATGTCGCAACCAATGGACTTCTGTTCGTCTGTATTTCACGATTTATCATTTTTCTAAAGATACTCTTTCCGCTTTTTATGTATCGGAACAACTGTGACACACACACAAGCGGAAGCATACAAATGCTTTTCCTCATTTTCTATTTGCAATCTCAAACCAATCCTACATTTTCTAAAGAAAGCGCTTTCTTTTCTTTTGTCCTTCCGGTGAGATATTTTCGTGCTTCCGCCAGTCTCGAATTTCTTTCCCTTTTAGTGTTTCTCTCATATGTTTATCTCCCGTGACGGTCTCACACTGCCTCTCGACCTATCTTCTTGTGCTTGCTCTGAGAAGGGACAGGCGATGTTCTGTGTATATAAGTGACATTCGCGACTTTCTCTTGTAACTCAAGGAATTTGTAAAAAAGAAGAGATAATATACGTGTACAAATAAATTGTTAATCTTTTACAAGTAAACTTTTATATGGTTTACTATATATTTTTAGCCATTTTTTCTCAAAATGGGTCATCTGTAGATCTTTCATTGTTTTGCACGTATCTTATAGATTAAAATTTGTTAGATTCACCTCTCTCTTCAAATATAATAATTTAAAATTAAGTGGGTCTCTTTGTTTTAATTATTAGTCGGCTTTTGACTTTCACAGTTAAGAATTTTCAGATTTATAGATAACGCACACGTTTTAATTGTACTACAATCGATGTAAAACTGAATAACCTGAATAATAATAAATCACTATAGTATCACTAACGGAATAGCGCTTTCTAATGTGTTTATTAATATATTTCTTTCTCTGTTAAATATTACTTTGAAACTCATATACATATATTTTAAATGTTTATGCATAAAATTAAAACACGATCAAAAAAATAGTACTGACATTTGCAGATAGATAATTGATTAATGCAAAAAACAATACAAATGTCCGCATAAATAATATATACATACATATATAGTAGAAATACGTAACATAGATATAAATAAATTGAGAGAGAACGAGATTTACAAGAATTCAAATGTGTAAATGTGAATGTAGAAGCAAATATATGTACAAGTATATGTATTGTATGTATATATTTAGTATTTTAATTTGTATTTTGATATTTTGTTTCAATTTGAAGAAACATTTATTAAACTGACGCATTTAGACAAGCACAAGAAAATCCGTAGTAATATTCTCTGACAATTTACAAAAGCGTAGGTAACTTTCAGCGGCACGAGCGGAAATCGTGACCTGAAAGCCCGGAGAAGTTACGGGTCATCGTCGAACCGAGGAAATCCAGTTTGCAATTCGCTCGACGTACTCGAAGTAACACAAGATCAAATTTGACTCCGGCTAAAATGAGATTCTAGCCGATCGTTGCCGCGTCTAGAGAGTCGTCTACAAATCGATCTTGCAAGGGACTTAAGTTTCCTACGGTGCTGTATGGACATTAAGTGATCTTCTCTCGTTGAATTATGAGCCGAGAATTGAACGATCGAGGTGATGATGTCTAAGTTGAAAAGCGACTGTTTTGTCTCTTAGATATATGAGAGATTATAAATATTCGAAATGACGCATAAATAACGCATAGATAAACAGTAGTATTACACATTGCTGTTGGCAAGTTTCATTCTTCAGATCAACAAATGTCAAATGCTGGCTAATTATCACGTAATATGACAGTTTGCTGAAGTAAGCACTCTCACCGTGATTTTTAACAATATATCAGCACACACTTCAATTGTTATAATGGCCAAAATTTATGAATTGTTGCTTTATCTACCTTCTTTGCCATATGATTTCATGAAAATTCTATTTATTTCCGAATTTGAAAAAATAACTCGGTAGAAAGAAAGTTTTGATCACAGTAAAGTCATCAATGCTGTGAGTAGCTATACTTTGACGAGTTGTCACACAACACGTTTGAAAATCGCATACAACACACACACACACACACACACACATATATATATAAAACTCTGCCAATCTTATTTCTCTATACGCGATTATGATGCAAATAATGTGAAAAAAGATAAAAGTTGGACTATACGAGGCGCAAAGTTGAAGAAACAAAATGGAATATTTGCGTAGATATTATTCAAATTAGTTTCGGATGTAGTTAAATACTGTCGTCGACCGTGACTGGTGACAGAGACGATTTGTAATGCGAGACTGTTGGAAGTTCTACCACCGACTTTGCAGTTTTAACCAAGGTCGTTGCCGTTGTCGAAATACAAAACTCGCGAACGTTTCGTTGCCTGGGTTGCTCTTACAAAACTGATAAAGCTCTTATTTTCGGCAATCTTTTAAGAGTGTTTGAAAATATTAAGGTCAAAAATTAAGTTGTTACGAAATACTTGCAGTTAACTGTCCGATGCACCTTCGAGATCAAAACAAGCTTTATAAAGTGGACTTTCTTAAAAATAGGAAAAAGCATCTATTTTTTGTAATATTCATTACTGTTTAAAGTCTTCTCTGTAATCTAATTTGTGAATCAATCCATGCAGTGAAATGATATCATAGCGTTGTAGTACTTACAGAGAACAAATGTTGTTAATCTATTTTGCAGACATTTGCAGCAGACATTTTGTGTGTACAAAAAATGTTTCCACGTTTAATACGTTAAGTCGACTGTTGCATAAATTGATTTGTCCTTCGTACGTCGCAATTTATCCGTGTAGCGCGATTTAAAATCTGCATATATCGCACGGATTAGAACAGTGCGATACCTTTGCAATTTATAGTCTACAAGATTCGGCACACACGGATATGAGGATACCAACAAATATCTCGACTTTTTATCAAAATGTCCGGATATCGAGCAATTAAAAATTGTATCTCTTTGACAAGAGAGAAGAAGAGAATGAAATCAGATTTTAACCATGTTTGTAGTTGTTTTTTGTCCGTAAGAAAAAAAGCTACGTGTGACAAACTATAGTAAATAAAAAGAAACACTAAAATTTTTTCTATTTTCTAAAAGTAACGAGATACTTAAAAAAGAAAAAAATAGAAAAGTTTACAACCTACTTAAGGATTTTTGCAAAAATCACATTACATTCAAATTTTTAATAACAAATTGCTTTGATTGTAATTATATATATATATATATAGATGTACATATATAAAATAGTTTTTTTTTAAATAAAAATATATATAATTAGAAATAGAAATGTATAATTAGAAAATTACCGATGTAGAGAAAGTTAATTGTCTGTATACACACTAGTATATCGATGATGTAACTCGAAATAAGTTTGTTTGAGAAAAATAAAACAGTCAGATAATACTGCTGCACGAAATAAATTGTGTCTTCACAGTTTATAGGCACGTTATCAACTGAAATCTATGAATAGTAGCAAAAATCACTTAAATGATAACGATTATGTAAATTGTGTGATTATTTGTGCGGTTAAAAGTGAATAAACGATGGAATAAAAACTATGTATATTGTATGTGTATTTCGAAGATAAAAATAATAAACTTGTTTTGCGAAATTTGAACAACCTTTGCGAATAAATATCGCGTCGTATTTATAGCTATCTCAATTGTCTGACGTACGTCATTGCCTACGTACGACAATTGAAGTAAACAATATATCTTGTCACGGGGGAAATATCTCGCTACATATATCTATTTTTCGACAACTCGTCGGAAATACGCGCCATTGAGGACGCTCAGTCATCTTCCGTCACATGCTTCCGTCTCCATTGATCGTACAATTAAACAGTTTTGAAAACCCACAAGCAAATTGTTAAATCTATTTAGATAACAAAACAGAAATGTCGCATATATGACAAACAAAAAAATAGATTGTAAATTTCAATGGATTTTGAAATACAAAGCTAGAAAAATAAAAAAAGATCTACAGTGTCATTTCGGACATATTTCAAGAAAATGAATACGTTCACAAAAACCAGACTGGATTAATAAGTAACATAAAATTATATTCAGTTGTGTATGCTACAATCTTTTTTTAATTTTTAACGTTTAACTTGATGTATCTCGTGTTACTTTAAATATTATGCACTTATTTGAATTTTACATCGATTAAAAAAAGTTTATAATTTTTCTATCTATTTATTCTATTGTTTTTACAAAAAGATCTTGTTTTTAAAGATAAGTTTTAACGCGGATGTGTTATTATTATGAAATAATATAATATACGCACTAAGATTTTTATGCTGTCTGTAGGACGGCGGAGAACTTCGATTCGTCACCACTTTAATTCCGCTACGAACCCACCATATATCATCTCGCGGCCTATGGCTGTTTCTCGATCCTTAGCCTCTCCTCAGAATAAGATATTCTGACAGCGACTCATCGATCACTTTGAGTTTATAATGATTTCCAATTGTGCGTTGTTTCGTTTCACACAACGACATTTATTCGCCGGTGCAATATATTTACAAGCATTCGTATCCGATGCTCTTTTTCTACTTTTCTTAGATTTTCATACATTTTATATCGATTTTGAAATATATTTTAAAAGTATTTGTTGTTACATACATGTTCTCCTTACTCTTGCACTTTATATGAATTCTTGCAATGTATATTTTCTTTCTTATTCTCTAAATGCTGTTACGTTTTATTATAACTTGTAGTCAAGCTAAAAGCTTCTTTTTGCACGTAATATTTGCGGTTAAACAAAAAGCAAATTTTTACGATTACCTGTTTTATCGTTGAGAAATTTTGTGTAAATGCTCAATTGGTTTGTTCTGGCATGTTACATACACGTAAATCCTGCAGTGTAACACACAACGCATAAATTACCTCTCGTATAGTCGATTGATAATCCAGTAGAACGCAATATTATTGCAAAATAAGTTTTCCATCTTTATGCATTGAGCATTTTCTGTTTCTAAGCTTTCGTTTCTTCTCTCTCTCTCTCTCTCTCTCTCTCTCTCTCTCTCTCTTGCTCACTTGGATTGCGTTCAGAAACATCACTCGTGTGCACTTTATCTTAATTGCTCATTAGATTTAAAACAAAGATAGATTGACGCTCGTGTGCACACGAGTGGTGTTTCCAAACGCAGCCTTGCTCGCTAGCTCAACCGCTCATTCGCTCACTCGTTCACTCACTCACTCACTTATTCATTCACTCTCTCACTCTTTCTCACTCTCTTTTTCTCTGTTTTCCCCGTTTGTTTTATTTTCTTTTTTTGTTCTGGAAACGATACAGGTACCCTTCGTTATGCTTGAACTGCAGAAGCCGGGACAGTCGGCCGCGACGAGCGAGGCTCCGGGGATTGCCGCCCGCTATGTTTCTGCCAACACAACAACAACAAGACCGCTTCACGAGTCTAATTTCTAGGCATCCAAATTCACTACAGATATAGCTAACTTAAGAGACAATGGAATCGTCAGTGTTCCCGTTACATCGTCGACATACAGAATGTTAACACAAAATGAACTTGTATTAAGTGAATAATAAAAGATGTACAGCAACATTGTTATGACAAAAAAGCTCAAATAAAAAATAAAAAAAATAAATAAAAAAAAACCAATTGCTTGTACCTACATATGTATACTATTGCTCTTTTTTATTATTAATATGTGATTTACAATCGTAATATATCTCGCAAAAGATGCAAACCAATATGACGAGTATATGTTTACGCAATCACATGATTCGGCAGAAAGAAGATGAGAGCTTTTCTCATCATCGATGATAATAATGCTACGAGAAATCGGAAATGTGTCTGTCGTTCGATGATTTAGAATTGGATTAAGAGAAATCTGATTGAGCGTCAGCATTGCAGTGACGAGAGCGCTTACGGCTAGACGATCTCACCAATCTCAATCGGCTTTGCTGATCTCGTTTCGATTTAGCTGTACATAGAACGCGCGATAATACAGTTAAACACTGGCGTTTTAGCTATATTTGCATGTAAGGTGACGTGCACATCGCGTCGTATATTAAATATGTATGTAATACGCATTTAGTCGATCGGTGTTGCGATTAGACGACAATTAATTCGTGCAAATTAATTTAGGTTAGATACCGATTATTCGTAGTTATTAAATTACAATTATTGTTGAAACGTATTTTACATACTAACGTGTAATATTATAGTTTATCGTATAAAACTGCGAGAATTATATTCATTGAAAATCCTATGTTTTTGCGAAGGAATTTCTTCAAACGAATGAATCTTGCAATTCGTGCATTGTACATAATACAATGATAATATATAATATTTCGTACGAATTGGAACTGTTTCTGCACAAAATTTTACATTAAAGAACTTAAAGAAATTTTCGGAAAGCATGTGTCTTGGTATTAATATTTATATATCATGAATAATAATTTATGTTGAATTTTGCAAAAGTTGTGTGTTGATTTTAAAATTACTAAATTCTAAAACTCGATGTAAATTTTTCAGATTTAATGAAGAATACGACATGAATGAGAGAAGAATGCGCTAATAAATAAATTAAACTCAATTTTATAAGATAGAAAAGCGCTCTGTCCGGTTTCGCTTTCAAAAGAGGCAATGTGTGCACTGCGTTACGAAAGATACTTTTCAATAATATATTTTCAGGATTTCTGCGCTGAATGTAACCTGCTTCTGAAAATACTTCAACATACGGATACCGGAAGCAAACATAATTATATTACAAATATATTAACAATGTTCTCCCGTGAACCGCTAATTTCTCATTGATACTGGACTGTTCGTTTGCATCGATTTATATGACACGTTTATTGAAATTAGAACAAACGTGATATGTGTCTAAGCTATAAATATTGTTTCACAAATATTGTATCGAACCGCAAAATAGACGTATTGTTTATATATTTGTTTTTATAGAATAAAACTCACACATTGTTATCAAATAACATCGAATTGTGTAATAGTTTTTAATAACATAAATAAAACAATAATAAAATCAAGTGTTTATGCGAACTCTTTTCCGATATAAATAATTCACTCTTGAAATTTATCCGAGCACCTCAACTTTGATATATACAAGATTTTCATAGGAAGAACAAACATCATATATGCATAAGCAGCTTGTAGAATGCGAAATGATTCAAATATTGTAAAGTAATCAGGTTATACACTAAACTTGTTGATTCCCGCATTATCGTCTGAAAAAGCTATTTGCTTTTAAGACACTCGTGATGCGAATGTGAGCTACCTCGAGTGTCACGTAAAGGTTTGCGATCAATCAGGATATCTGGAAATCCTGAATACGTATTCACATAAACGTATCAGAAATATGTGAAATATTTAGTATGTATATATATATATATATATATATATACAATATATACTCTATATATATACACGTATTTGAAAAAATTTTAGAAAATCCTAAAAATCAAACATCAAATGTTTGCTTATTTTATCGTTATAAACGTTTCGAGAAATAGATTATATTGTTACATTGGATCCTTCAACACAATTACAAAGAAAATATCAAGATATCAACAGGGAAACAATGTGTGTAATATATTTTAAATTTCGGAAACTCTTACAAAGAAAAGAGAAAAGACAGATAAAAACTAGTTTTAAAGATAAGAAAATTTAAATTAATTGTGCTCTCTGTGGTTTTGAAACAATGTGTGTGTTATTAAATTAAAAGATTCAACAGGTTTGATTGATTATTCGAGAAATATTAATGTTAAAAAATTACTTACAATTAGTGCATAAGTTGTTTTAGCAAACTTCATATAAGAGAGAACGTAATCCTATAAATATTATTATATGTTATCCTTTTAAAAGATATAAAGTTTTTTAATTGAAACAAGTGTAAAAAATTATTGTTTAGACGATCAGTAGCTTGTTTACATAGTTTACATGATTTTCTGCCTGATATTTCCTGATATTTGTGCGTATTTAGTCTTTTATACATTAAACGTATACATTATACGTTAAACGTCGTCTTCTCGCCAATATTCTCGATTTGAGAGGCGAGTAAAGGCCCAAAAAAAGCGCGCATTCCATTCTCTCTTAAGTCATGTCGAGACTCTTTCTCTCTCTCTCTTTCTCTCTCTCTTTCTCTCTCTCTCTCTCTCTCTCTCTCTCTCTCTCTCTCTCTCTTTGTGTGTGTATGTGTGAGAGAGAGAAAAGTGTGGGAAGGAAGGGAAGAGAATGTTGAGAACGAGATGCACGACTCGATAAAAAAACAACAAAAGAAGTAAGGACCAAAAGTGGTGTGTCTAGAGATTATGAGACTCACTCGGCGTTGGTCTCCGGTGTAGGCAGGTCACCGATGGTCGTAAGTGTCAGGGTGGACCAGTAGAGAGAGCCGAGGTACTTCCTGGTCAGAGTGGCGTATTCGCCGGGCCGGTACGGGTAGACCCAATCGCCCTGGAAGCTCTCGGCCTCGCTCAGTAAGTAGTAAAAGCAACCGAACCAGTGCGCCAATATGAGAAGTATGTGAATAAGATTGAGCACGCGCCAGAGATTCGGGTAGACCGTGCGCGACTCCACCATGTAGTAGTAATTGTAAACGCGGTAGATCTTGAGGAACCTCGGGAACCTCAGCATAGGGTTGCTGCCGAGATTCATCTGCAGGAGATCGAGCGGCAACAGCGCCAACAGATCCAGCACGAACGATTTAGATTTGAGGTAGTGACCGGCCAGTTTCATACTGTTGTACACCATCAGGCCTTGCTCGAGGTAACCGGTGCGTATCTGCACCACCACGTCCAAAATGAACACTACGTCGGTGAAACTGTCGCAAGCGATCCAGGCGGTGGGTGCCAACGCCTGCAGTTCCGGCAGACTCTGACGGACGATCAGTGTCCAAAGATTGTAAAGGACGCAGGCTGACAGCAACATCAGCCAGTAATAATAAAAATTTTCATCGGGATTGATCACGGTTTTGGGAGGTTTCTGGGGCCTACGAGGCCGCCGGCGACGCCGACTACCGGCTTCTTTGTCGTCGGTCGCGTCACCTTCGCCTTCGCCGGTGTCAAGCGTTTCTTGACTCTCTGGTATTTGTCTCGTGGAAAATCTCTTCAGAAATGAGTCCTCGCGTTTTAGCGGCGGTTTCTTCTGAATTGTCGAGATCGCCGAAGACAATTGTACCGTCGTCCGCAATTTCATCCATCGCTGATTACTTTTTGTTCTGTGAGCAGAAAAAAAAATAGAAATCGCCAGTCAAAACTGAAACAGGACGCGCAGATTTTATTCCTCCTAGGATTCATTGAACCAATCTCTCTTTCTTTTCCTGTTTCTCTATCTCTCTCTCTTTCTCTCTATTGATTTAGCTAATTTATAAATAACGCAACAATTTTCTATACAGATGGCAATAAAATAAATTAAATTTTTGTTCATTTGTTGTTTTAATCAAATTGTTATTTATTCATATCGTTTATCGTCTTTGTTCAGACGTAAATAAATAAAAGAAGAGAAGAAGACGGTATTATATCTGCAAACTGATGTTCAGATGTAACAAAATGCATAAAATAAAGACGCGTATAAAGACAGTCTTTAAATAATACGAGACAGAATTTATTATGTAAGCTAAAGCAATTTTTTGATGTTTGTTCTGTTGTACCTTGGTTCTAAATTTAATGTTTTCAAATTCCAATATAAAAAGTAGAAAGAATAAATATACAAGTTTAATACAACATTTCATTAAGCGCAATCATTAAAGATTTGCTTAATTTTGGTGTATCAAACGCTAAAATAAAATATTAAAATGTCAAAACAGATACAGCAGCTTTTCTTAAAAAAATAAAGTAAGTCATTACTAAGAAACAAAAAGAGAAAAAGAGAAAGAAAGAGAGAGAAAGAATATACTGCAATGTTAAGAAATAGCCACTGCTATTCGAACTTCTTTTGCAAGAAAAAATAAATATTCTCACGGTATGATATGTGCGTTGTGATATTAGTTTTTTGTTGATTACGTTTTTCTTTTAAGATCTTTTCGGATCTTTTTTATATATATACATCTCCCATTCTTTATATACACTCTTCTATATATGTACTATACATATATACGTACTGAAGCACATAAAATATACAATTGTGTTGGATATTATTTTATAACTTTATATAAATCGTTCCTGTTAGGGTTGTTGAAACAATTAAATTTATTGTATAAAATAATTTATTGCGCAAATTGCGTCAAAAATTGTTTGCACAATAAACAGTCGATGGAATTTTCCGTTTGAAAAACAACAATGCGTTTTAATATTCGATGTCATGTGCTATTTCGCTTGGCCATTGTTTTAAGCCTCTGCGTGCGAGCATGTATCGTTTTAAAAGATGTTTGACGTGCGAATGTTTATTTTAATCGAGATTCCACATGACTGAGAAAGAGTTGCGAATTCTTTGCAAACCACGCATGCATGAGCTTTATCACGCGATGACATTGCAGAATTCATAGAATTCGCTATGAATAGAATGTATCGCAAGACACTTTGTTCTGCAGTACTTGCTATCATCTATTTATCTTGCAAACACATACAAAAGTATATAAGATAGGACTATTATATCGTTGCAACCGCGTCAATAATAAAATTTAAAAAAACCATAACATTCTTGTTTTTTGCTTTTATAGAATAATCAGATCTACAGTTGTATTTCTCTAAGTTCTAAGTAAATGGGTGGTTGTTGCTTTGCGAAATAAAAATTAAACGAGACGCGAGATCACATCAGTTAGCTAGAGTATCAGATTGATAGGAGGTAGACAGACAGACAGACAGACAGACAGACAGACAGACAGACAGACATACAAATAGACAGACAAACAGATAGATAAACAGAACAAATAGATAGAGACAGAATAACACTAAAAAAATCGCATACCTTGACAATCGAAACGATAATAAAATTAAGATAATCATCAAGTATGGCACTATGTATTCTTGAATTGTTATCGTAACATTCATATACAATGTGTTATAGATGTAAATGCAAGATATTGAATATTATGTTTCAAATGAAAACATTTTCCTACTATCAATTCTTTGTAAGTACTTAAATACTATAAAAGTGTTTTACAGTATTTAAATATATAAGTACTATACTGTACTGTAATATATAAATACTGTAGAAGTTATTAAGACAAAAAGATCTTTATATTTAGGGATTAATTGTCATTTACATGACAAAAGATATGTTATGATTTATCAATTTGTACTAAAATATTTTTCGTATTATTTTGTGACATACGTGTGTGTGTATGTAGACATAAATAAATATTTTAAACTTTTAGATTTTAAATTTTTGGGTACCTAAAATAAAAATCGGGTTTACCACACGTGTGATAACTTGTTTCTACTCGTACACGATATCAACAAAGAAATATTTCATTAAGAGAATAAGATGATTAATAAAGATCAATCGCTCGACGGTTATCAGTTCAAATATATTGTATTTTTTAATTAATCAAACTTCATCCTTATAAAATCGCTGATAATTACTTTCATTATTGTGTATATATTTATGTGTGTGTCGGTGTAATTAAATTTCGATTCTAGTAATACCTATTAATAATTTATTTATTAATAAAAATTATTTATTAATCATTATTTATTAATGATTATTATACTCCTTATATACTTGCTTCGTAAATCATTTTACAGTATATAAGTTATTGTCAAGTATTGCTTGTAAGTTGGTAAAATAAGTAATGTGAATTTTCGAAGAAGATCTATCCCCCTTTAAGCGAATAATCGAGGAAAAAATTTATTATAAAACTTGAGAATTTTTTCAAATATGATTAAATATCATCAAAGATTAAAAAATAGATAGCATAATCTTATACATAGCAGCAGTGTATCTTTATCAGCTATGTTATTTAAAAATGTACAAAGTAAAGCATGAGACGTATAGTAATTTGAAATAACGTGGATATAAAAGTAATAGATGGAGAATGGCTATAAAATAAATTTGCAGTGAAGAGCAGTAAATATAGCCAGTATTTTCGTGCGGTCTTATGTTAAATGCAATGGGAAACGATCGGAACATCTGACTTTTATTTCATTTTTTGATTATATCAAGTTATGTCAAATCAATTAACATTGACTTCCGTGAATCAGATTTTATGCCAATTTTATAGGTGTCACTATTTGTGCGTTATTTTTGTATATACACTTATGGTTTGTAAAAAGATCAAAACCCGAAACATACGAGACTTCGATATAAAACTGCTATGTTAAGTTTGCATTTAATATAATTTGTATCAATGCTTTCGACTACATAAACTTTATTGCAATTAATACTTTTACTTAGTAAAAGTCTTGTGTTCTCGTACACATGACGTTCCTTCGTTTTACATTAGACCTTTGTGATGGAAACAATATGATCGACACCTAAATATATCTTCATGCTCGCGTCAAGAGACGTATAATTTATTCGAAAAAATATTTTTATAAGTCTCGTGCTAAAAGTCAGAATCTCTAGAAATATTCAATTCAATTCAAAAATCTATCTTTCTTTGTAAAGAAATCTCTCTAGAGAGAATGAATAATTAACAAGATGCAAACATAAAGCGCTGAAAAATCTCAAATCAAAGTTCCAATATCGTTGAGATTCCCGAGATCTTGGTTACCTCATTTCGGAAGTATTTGAAAGTTTATGACATTTTGAAAGCCACTCGAAATTTCATACTCGATTAAGTCATCGTTAAAATGTTAAAATGTAAAATTTATTGTCGTCTCAAATATTAATACGATAATTGCATTACATATACATATATATATGTATATATATACTTGCACTTATTTAATCATTTGTTATTTCCCATCATGTAACAAAAAACTCGTAATATGATTTATGTTTACTGATTAACTATGTTTATTTATATTTATTAGAAGATATGAAAAAAGAAATGTATAGATTAAAATAACATAATTAGGAGAGAAAAAAATAAGAAAAATAAGTCAGTAAGAACATTTTTTAGTGAAGGGAAACAATAAAGTATATACAAATACATACTTTAAAAAACAAATATTATTCTATAAGTCTCTAAAAGAAAACTAAATTTTTTATAGAGAGATAGGATCGAGTAAACAAGATGAAATATTTTGAAGATAACCGTGCCGAGTTCCCAACATAAATAGAGACAGTTGTAAAGAGTATGTTATTTGTGTGTGTGTGTGTGTGTGTGTGTGTATATGGCGCGGGCGCGCAGATGATAGTGGCAGAGGTTACCGTCCGTACCGATTAATGGCAGGAATACCTCTTGATTTTGCGTAGAGAGGAATATAACGCCATGACCGCGCGTACATTACTCCATTTTTGTGAACCCCTTGTGCTACGGGGTCTCCTGGCTGCTGCGGGTATTTCTGTATCGAGGTTGTAGCTCTCCAGCGATGCTGATGTGGTTGAGGTCCTGACGAGTCTCGCGCCGGATGCAAAAGATTGCGGACGACTCGAAGAAACGCGTTGTTGACGGTACAATTTCGATGACCTGCGAAGAAGATAAAGAACCCACACGGGTTGCCTCGCTCTCATTCTCTCGCTCTCGCATACTTGTCATCACACGTCTATTATTTTCTTTACATACACACAAACACACACACACACACACACACACACTTTTTCTTCCTCTAACTTTTCCTTTTCCCAACCTAGCCTCGCGTATTCAGCAAATGTATGATATGTATGAGTAAACATTCGCTTCGAGTGATATGATTTTTTTCAATGATGATATGAGTACTTTTAACCAATTTTCTTTGCAAGCACGGTTGTTATTGTTTCCTGCCTTCTAAAAGTATTCACAATATGTTCTGGAAAAATATTAATTCGAAAATTATATTATCACATTCGCGGTTGACAATTTTAGAGCGAAACTGCTGAAGTCCGCGTACATTTTTCAAACGTCTATAGCCGAAGTCCGCAGAGTTCTGCTATTTAAATAAGTGTAAATATACAAAATATTACTTCATACCACACTTATATGTTTATTAAACAAATTAACATAGATTTTATAAAATGACGTAGGACTACGTCAGCCGAACCTTAGTTATAGATTTTTAAATGACGTAAGACTACGTTACCGGTCATGAATGTGTTAAGAAAATATATATAATTAGTTTTATGAAATTTACTTAAACTTCAATCTCAAATCTCGGTTCAGAAAAACCAAATAATTTGTTATATAAATTTATAATCCAAAATTAAATAAAGAATCCAATGTTTCCAATGCTTTATACAAACTCAATCATACGCATCTCGTTTAACAATAACTGATGCAATGTAATATGAATTTGTAATTCTTCTATCATACTTTGTACACATTTCTAACTATGATGGATAACACGTTCAAAATATTTATGTAATATAGCAGCTGTCTCGTAAAAAAAGCCTCACTCATTCATCCGAAGAACGATCTCGCTCGAAAGCGATGTAATACAGTTATGGCTTGCAACGTATTTCATTGAGTGCGTGAACAGGTTTCATCATTCATTTCTCTTTCTTTCTCTCTCTACTTTTGATTCAATCTCTTTTCATACAAGCGTAATCAGACTATTCTTCATCCTTTTCCCTATGTGTCCGTCTGTCCATCTCCATATCACATTGTGAAAAACGAGTCATCCGCTGAAAACTCGTCAGGTCGACGTGACGCAAAAACGTACGCGACGCTGAATTTATTTATCCGTGTGAAAAACGATTTTGCTGTTGGCGCCACGAAGCATCGAAAAGTCGATAAACACAACAGTTTGTCGAATGTACTTTGTGCGCTATACGGAATTGCGCGACTGCAACGGAATTGTCAACGAATAGAAGAAGCAGTAGCCTGGGAACTCGGAAATCTGCCTACACAGAATCTAGAAAAGTGGGTCTGAATTCGTATTGAATAAATAAAAGCGAAAACTTCCTGATTATATACGCTCTGGGTTCACGACGCTATAGTGCGAGAAGTGTACAACAGAAAAACAAAAAAGAAGCTCACAGAATGAATACAGAACAACGAAGTCTTGTCGGACAAGACTTCAACTTAGAAATTAGTTGCATCGCGTTTTTTACTAGAATTACGCGCGACAAGAATTTTAATTTTATTTTAAATTTCTGATGCAACATACAAAATACTTAACCCGGATATTTGTATATTTATTATATAAATATCAGTAATACTTGACATATTCGCAGCCGGCGTTTTTTAGAGCGAGATCTCTACCTAAACGCTGCGTATTTTCAAATGTGTATAGTTGAAGGCCGCACGGTTACGGCAATATTGTTGTTCACTTATGTATAAAAAGTTTACATATATCTATTGAACAAATAAACTTAGATTTGAAAATGATAGGACTACGTTACCGGTCGCGAATATGTTAAATATAGATATTTAATTTTTGCAAACTATTAAAATTATATAATAAAATTATTGAAATACTACACACATGTAAATAATTAATATTCATGATATAATTTATTTTTATTTCTTGCAAACACCATGTGCAGCAAACATATGCATATGTAGTAAAACATACTTCGCACTAAATCTTTCATATCGTATTTAATAATCACACCTTCTATCGTTCTTTCTCCCTATATTATTAATAATAAGAAATATATTATAAACAGATAAAAAGAATTATCTATACAAATAATTTGCGCGAAGTTAGAAAAGATATTGTTGAAAAGTAACTTTCTTCAAGAGTTTTTATGCTATATCTACATATATATAAAGAGTTATCATATTGTAATATTTTATTTGTGACGTTATTCTGCAACTTTTCAAAACATTTTAATCAAAGCTTTGGTGACGTACGAAGAGACTCTGAACTGATAAAACAATTTAGGATCTTTTTATCTTGTGATAAAAACTAGATATTATAGTCATTATACTACGTATATTTTTGATGAAAGTTCACTGCAGCTTTTTTATATAGAAAGATTTTGTTTGTTAATCCAGAATAACTTGATTATAATAGATAAATATTATAGATAGATATTTAATACTTCTCTTCCTCTTCTTTGTCGAGTAACTTATCTTTATCCACCTTCTTTAAGTTTTTGAACTTTACAAAACTCCGTTTAATTTTGTCATTTTTTAAATTACAAATATATATTGTATTTGTATGGCTTACTAATACATTTCTCACCGTGTAAAATGCTTTTCTATAATTTTACGAAAATACGAATTTTATCGTAAAAATTAGAACAGAAAGTTTTGAACAGTTAAAGTTAATAAAACTATAACTAAAAAATAAAATATAATATACTATATTTAGTTTTTCTACCGTTTTTTAAATCTTTTACTAGCCAAGAGACTATTTTCTAATAAATGTTTATCTAGTTTCAAAATTTATCCGACTTTATTTATTTCTACCAAAGAAAAAAGGTTTTAGAGACGAAAAAATATCATCTCTGTTTATCCACTTTTAATATATTAAGAAAACTTCAAGACGGATCCATTACGTTTCACATAGGATTTCTGCGTCCTAGTTGTCAAATGTTTACTTTTCCCTGATTTCTAGAGAAGCAGAAATGAAGATTCTTGCCCGATGTTTCTAATGCAGAAGCGAGAATACTGCAGCTGAATTTTCCTGATGACATACTTATCTATTTTTGTTTGCTTACTTCCGTTGCGCATCATGTTTTCACAAAACCACAGTTATGACACAGTGTTAACAAAAAATAATTATTTGCTGTTTATTTAGTATCTCACACTTTTGTAACAAATACAAACGGATACTAAAATTTGATACATAATTTGAATCCATTATATTATCTACACTATATATATATACATATATATATATGTATGTATCTATTATGTATTAAACTTTAGTATAACAAAGTCCGTTCGTATTTATTACAAAAGTGTGAGGTACTAAATACATAGCAAATAGCTATTTTTTATTAATATTGTGTTATAGCTATGTTTTTGTGAAAACATGATGCGCAACAAAAGTAAGCAAACAAAAATAAGTTTTATATATATATTGTACATATGTACGTATGTATATACATACACATATACACACACAAAAACATACACATATGTATATATATAAACACACAAATATATAGATATAGATAACCGCTATCATATTTGTTACGTATAAAAATTGTTACATGTAATGTTTATTTATTGTACTTATCCATTAGTAATTTTACGGTAAAAGCAAAATTGTTAACAGTTTTTAAGGCATTTTTATCACGAACTGAGTTAAGCCGGATATTGAATGAATTTTTGTTCAATTACTTCCAACTATTATATAAAGCGATAATGCAGAATAAACATCACAATGATATATATATGTACAATAATTATTTTGATGTTGCACACAAATTTATCCAGATTATCGTTACAATCGTGATGACAATTAACAAATCAATTATAGATTTTATTGACAAAGTTTAGAGAGGAAGTTTTTTTGTGTAATCTTTACTTTTGAGTATATTCGTTACTTCGTGCAAATTATTTACAAAAACAATTGTTTGGCAAGAGATAAAAATACATAGATATGTATATTCTCTATCGAAAATTTTTTTTGCGCAGAAGATAAGTATGGCAAACAAGACGGAAATCTTCCTATTAAATAAAAATATACAAAGGAATATAACATATTGCGTAGTCTTTCGATTTTTATTTTGTCATATAGAATGAAAGCTGAATTAAATCCGAAAATAATGAGACATAATTGCGATGCAAAAGTAAATAGTAAATATTACACTAACCTCGATCCTCCGTGGCCATTGGATCGTCTGCCGCTGCTCTCATCATCTTCATCGTCCTCGTCGTCCCTCGAAGTAGCTAGCGATTGGGGAACTGATGATGGGGCGCTACTGCCGGAATCAGGCCCAGGACCCATTCTCGAACTGGAAGCGCCGCTACAGCCCGCTGAAGACGGCACCGGACCACATTCCCCCTGGCCCTCTTCCTTCTCCGCCCGGTCCACCTTTAAAAATTTACACATTTTTATCAGATTTTATTCAATCAGTCGAAACAATGCAGATAAATAATTGCTTTCTCCATTTCTTAATGTCTCATTGAAACACATAACATCGTGTTTCATATGTACTAGAAAATTTACATTTTTATGAGTATAACGAATACAATGAATGTCTTCTTGCATCAGCAACAGTATGTATGTGTGTATATTTGTGTTTTGCTTTATCTATTTTTATTTCAAATATTTCGTTCTTCGCTACATTATTTGTGCAAATCAATATTTCATTGTGCGAACACAATTCATCACGAAACGCGAGATGATCAAAACTATAATATATATGAAAAAGCATCTTTATAGCGTTTTCGTTTTTCATTTCGTGACCGATTATGCAAAAAGCAACGACCTAAGAGCTCTTGATATTACAGAAAGAGAGAGAAAGAAAGAAATCATATGTATGTCTGTTTAGAATGAAAAGATGGAAAGCCGAAGACGTTCTCACTGAACGACATGGCTGTGTCAGCCATTTCTCTCGAAAGTCGATTCCAAACAGGAACCATGATAACTGGCTATTCGGGATTGGGAATTTCCGACTGGAAGTCGTAAAAGTTATATGTCGTGATCGGGAAGATGGGAGACGAAATAGCAGAATGTGTAATTTACTTACTGTAACGGGGGTACTTTTAATCAGTTGTGATAAAACATAACACGGAAGAGAGAGCAGAAGCAACTAGAAAACAAAAGAATTATATATAAAGAATGAAAAAACAAGAAGAATATCGTATACGGAATGATCCGGAAATTATTAAACCTTTAGAGTTCACGTTTTCTTTAATTAATTCAAAAGTAGATTCTTTTGCACAAATCTACATTTCAAAATTTTCAATAATTTTAGCAATTTTATATTTTTCAATATTAAATGTCTTCATTTAAGAAAAAACAGAAATTAAAATTTTATTTTAACGTACACTATCTATTTGATATTAAATAAATCGTCGTCATCTATTTTTCTACTGAAATTTAATTTACAGATAAAATGTCTTTTTAAATACATGTAGTTTTTATTTTTAGAAAGCTTTAAATATATATATATATATATATATTAAATGCTTCAAAGAACAATTTTTTAGTTTGTTAAACAATCTGTTGTGTCAACTACAAGTTGTGAAACGTCCTATATGCATGACAAAAAATGAAAGTTGTTTACAACTTGTTCAACTAAAGCTGAAGACGTCGTAAAAGAACGTCGTGGCTTTTCTGATAAATGTAAATTTTAATAAGAACATTGTGTTGTCTTTTAATAAATACATTTTTTTCTTGTTAATAAGTAAATTTCATAAGCTACCTTATCTTTTATAGCGTTTTTTGCTTATTTAGAACAATAATTCATATATTTTCTCTAAAATTATAAATGGTTACTATTTTTACGTATCTCTCTCTCTATCAATATATATGAATTAAAAACATACTTTTATTTGATGTGACAAACTTAAATCCTACAATTGTCATAATTGTGCAATATTTGTTTTAAAGATAAATTAAGTGCAAAATGATCTTGTCAACTCTTTGATCCGCGCTATTAACATCAATCCCTGTACATCATCTTTTCCCCTTAAATCCCACGGACATTAATTGAGTTTGACGTAACATCCTATTTTCCTCTACCTCAAGATCCGGAAACAGGTTAACTAGATACCATACACTTTGCCACTGCAACGGATCTCGGGGGAATAAAATATAGCGTAACGATGTACATCGCGATTTACTATCTTAAGAAAATTATTTACTAACAAGTGTCGTATAGTATAAATTACCAAGTATAATATAAATCAATAAAATCAAAGGTTGCCATCAAGCAATAAAGAGCAACATAAACTTTTATCATTTTTTTTTGTGTATTTGGAACAATAAAACAAAAAAATCGAGAATGTAATTTTCTCAAATGTTTTCGAGAGTTAAACAAAACTCATTACACATACTGTACTATACTATATACTTATGTATTTATAATTGTTATTTCAATCTCGTTTTATAAGAGCATATCAGTGAACATTGTCAGAATCGAGATTTAAATAAAAAAGCGTATATTCGAGATCGTTCAATAGCATAACCGAGCGGTAACGCGAAATCAACGTCGTATCCAGTCAACAAGCAGTAGTAGTTGCAGTAGTTGTTGCACATGTATCAATATCCATAAGCATAAGCGGCTTTGCCGCAGCAACAACGCGCAAACACATCGCGTTCTGCGCAATTGAAAAGCGGAAGGACGAAAGTTCAAAAACTCAGTTTTTCATGAAAAAATAAAAGTCAACATTCAGTCAAGGTCATCGTATATATGTATGTATAAAATGTGTGACACAAATTTCTTGTTACTTGCAAATTCCATTCAAAACTTCTGATAAAATTTAGATTTTTTATTCCAATGTTATAAACTCGCGAAATAAAATAGTGATAACTACGCGAACATTACTGTATCTACAAATTTATCGACATAATTTACTAAAAATATAATATGTTACAGACATACAAAAACATGTAAGAAAATATAAATAAAGCCAAAAGGAAAACTTGTTTATCTGTATGTTCTATCTTCCGTATTGTAGCAAGTCACAAATGTTTTCATACATACAGAGAGAAAACTTTTTGCTAGTAAACGTCGATATCGCGTTCTCTTCTGTGACAGTTTTTAACTCAATATTATCAGTGACCCCCTTAAATTGAATTTACACTATCTGCTTGTCCAAATACAGAAACTTGCAGAAACGACGTGTGCACAATCTCTGTACGGAAAAAGTTTATAATGAACATCGAGTTTGATAAATCCGAACCGAAATGTCGAAGAGCGAAATCTAATTATATGGCACGTAATTATCTTAGAAACGTGCCGATGGCAAACAAGTTTGATTTTAAGGATCTCTGCTCTTTTCGATATTGCTAAGAATTTGACGAGCCATTTTGTCTATTGTACATGTTAACAAAAGTTGTATTTAATTATCTCAAAAAAAAAACCACGTAATAGGTTATTCGCACACATTCGGCTTGTCGGCTATAGATATAAATTTATCAATAATAAAATTTATTTATTATTGATGAAAAAATATATAATAAATGATACTCTAACATCTTATGATTTCCATTCCTGAAGCTTATAATAAACGACATCTTTTTGCGCAAACCCGAACGGTTTAAAAAAAAAACAAATTTGTCAGTTAAAAACCTTTTTACATCTTGAACAATTTGTACACATACAATACGTTCCAACTAAATTTTATGTATAACTTTGTGTGTCACTTTTCAATTACTTACTCACACATTTAGTTATTTTGTATAAAATAATATCTTTTCAAAAATATTTTGTGCTTAAAGATTAGTAAATAATACATCGTTTATTATCGAGCGTTATGTAAAAGTTACAACTTATCAATATATTATTATATGGAGAGTAACGTGTATTCGAACATACAAATCTCGCGGTTGCTAATTCTGCCATTATTTCAATTTAGTTTTACTTAAGCACCGTCCAAATTTGAAAGTTTTGAAAATATGCAACAACCAAATAAAAGCAAATAAAAAATATGATAAAGGAGCGTCATTTGTCGTTCAAACACTTCCAATGTGTCTTCTGTTTCGAATAAAAGTACGATAAAACAAATTAGATTACGGCGACGAGTCGCTATGCAATATTGCTCTGTATTAAAAGTGATGTTGCGGTAGTTTTACGCTCTCGAGGCAGCAAAGAATTAAGTGAGTGCTAGAAGAAAGAAGGGAAAATTGCAGCGCTTATGAGACGTAATTTGTCTCATAATAAGATGCTATTGTTGAAGTAACCCCAGGGTAGCCGCGTTACGTGTGTATTAGCCGAGGTGAGTAGTTTGCAAACGTAGGGCGGAGTAGCGTCGACACGTGTGCACGATCCATCGTTTCCTGTGACGTAAAGTGACCACACACACACACACACACATACACACACACACACACACACATACATACATACATACACACGCACACACCTGCATCAACATCGCATACAATGAGACATGTACTTGAATCATCCTTCTATTTATTCGACATGCACGCACATATCGTTACATCACTTGACTCGGAACAATGCGACTGAAATTGGAAGTGAGTTTAAAAGGGGTGTGCCTGCTTTCGCGCACTCGCGCAAGAAGAAAGAGAAAGAGAGAGAACGCTGACAAATTGTAGAAGTACCATGTGCAATAAAACGTTCGTAGTAATTATTGTGTCTCAAATGAGTGAAGTGATGCCGTATTAACAGAACTGAGTAAACATAAAACAAAATTGTTTCAATTACAAGTGGCAATTATTATTGTCTTGCGCATATTCAAACGTTTGTCTTAAAGAGAAAAAATATTTTTTACTTCAAAATGTATAGTTATCAAATTTACACGTTAATGTACATAAAAAAAAATTATAAAATTTATATGTAGTTATATATTGTCGTGTAAGAGAGAGAGAATAAATATTAAAATAGGTGGAGAAATTGATACAAACTGTTTGATGCAGTGAAACAGAGGGAAAGCTAAATAAAAATAAACAATTCATTTCACATGCCTTCCAAGTGACATCGAAGGGTGGCTTAAAAAAGGGATTGTCTCACAACACATAATGTACCTCCGGTAACACTTTACACCCCAATAATTTGCTGGCTATAAATTTTTCCTCTTCGGTGCAATGTGTCGCAACGCGGAATTTTGTCTGATATAAGCGATTCATGAGAACGGCAAAGCTTCTCTTGTTTCTTATAACATAAAAATTTGTCACAACAACTAACGACCGCGCGGCGTACAACTTTTCACGATGAAAAAAAATTATATCGTGAAAATTACGGTGCAGAGCTTTGAAATTGTATAAATTCGGAACCGTTACCACCGCGTTGCGCGAGAGATGTATATATAGATACTGCTTTAAAGCCGATACAAGATTAAAAAATTTTTACACATTTCACGCATGAATGTGATTTTTGTAACAAATAGATATATTTCATT